GTCCTTAGACTTTTCTGTATCGACAGTCGTCTCCGCAGCCTTAGATTCTTCAGCCTTCGACTCTTCAACCTTCGCCTCTTCAGCCTTCGACTCTACAGTTTCATCAGCCTTAGGAGCTTCATCAAACTTGGAAGCTTCACCAGTCTTCTCCGCCGCTTCTTTGCCATCCTGCGCTTGCGATGGTGTGCCACGTCTCCAGATGTTCACACTCGGCATCGAAACCTGACCAAGTGACGACACTGATGCCGGCACCTTTGGCATGGACGGCATGCCGGGCATACCTGGCATCCCCGGCATACTAGGCATATTGGGCATGTTTGGCATCTTGCTCGGCAACCACCCTCTTACACCGGTGCCAGACTGTTGGGCAACTTGGAAAAGGTGCTGCATGTACGTCCGCTTCTGCTCAGTGTCGATATTCTCCGGGCTCGTGTCTCCGACGAGATCTCCATCCCCGTCCTCCGGTAGGGGAACAACCGACGCAGCGGCGGCGATGTCGATGGGCGATTCGTCCGGAAGCTCGTCGGTAGACTTGGACGCCTCCTTTTCGTCCAGCTTCTCATCCGATTTCTCCGCTTCCTCGTTTGACTTTGCCTTCTCTAGCGTCTCTTCCACCTCGTGGTCCTCCTGGGCCTCCTCCGGCGGCGGCTCGCGGAACTTGGGGTCGTCGACGACGCGCTCCTCGCTGTTGAACCATTCAATCACTAGGTCTGAGGCCTTGTCCGTCATCTTCTCGTAGTCCTCGTTCTTCTCTGGGTCAAAGAGGCTCATGTGGGCTTGCACCTCATCGTCGACCTTGCGCAGCACCTGGCGCGAGAACAGAGGATACGCGGCGTGGCTCTCCTCAGGTACAGCGCAGAACGTCCTCTCGGGGACGAAGTATCCTCCCTGCCAGTACCCATTCTCACCCAAGGAAGCGTAAAAGTCATGAATACCCACGCCCTTGAGAGCGCCCATGCGTTCCAGCCGTCGGTTGAGCTCCTTCTGCTTCAAAAGCGCACCGACAAAGGTGAAGTGGTCCGACAACCACGCAAACGAGCGGCCAACATTGCCGCGGTTGATGTACGCCAGACCCTGCCCCAGAGCATCGATACTCTGGCGGTAGCCCTCCTTGACGGACTCCTTGTTGAGGTTCTTGAGCCCGTTCATGATGGCCTCGCGGTTAACATACGCAGCCACGCCGCCCGCCGCGATCGCGCCCACCGTGCCGGTCCGTACGGCGACGAGCTGCCACGTCTTCCAGCCGGGGTTGCGCGCGGTCGACGCGACGGCGGAGGTGGCGGCGCGCCTGGTGCCGAGGCGGGCGAGGCTCGCGGGCGCGGCGGCGGAGAGGGCGGTCATGACGTTGAAGACGCTGCTGACCTTCTGATAGTTTGAGAAGGCGCCGTAGACGAACATGGAGCGGGCGAGGCCGTTGTAGGGGGTGTCGAAGGTGAGGATGCCCTGGATCGGGGGGAAGATGGGGTCGTCCTCAGAGGGGTTGGCGTGGGCGCGCTCGTTGACGGCAAGAAAGAGTGCGTCTGCGGCGACGAAGCCTCTGTCTTTTGTTAGTGCTTGGGTGTGATGGGGTGGTGAAGGATGCTTGCCCCATAGAGTGGGCGACGAGGATGACGCCGACTTCTCTGTCTTTCGGTGGCCATGGCTTCTCGACAGTGGATTTCCTCACTTCCATGACCTGTTCTTTGAGCCTGAGATGTGTTAGGATAAGGCCTTTCGTTGCTGATGAATGGAGGTGAGATACCATGCCAGGAAAGCCTCGGTGGCTTCAGCCAGCTCGCCCTTGGTCTCATACTTGGGGTAGACGATGGACTCGACGCGGTGGTCCGGCAGTTGCTTGGTGACTACCCGTTTGAGGTCCTGCAGGAAGGTGAGCGGGTGCCCACGGGACCTCTTGGCGATATCTTCACTTACATCAGGGAATTCGCGAAAGGTGTCATCGTTGCCCTGTGGTAGTGGTTAGATTGGCGTTGCATGCGCCAGACAGGGCGCCTCTCACCTTGAAGCCGTGGATGAAACACAGCAGTAATGTGCGTGACATGATGAGTGAGATTACTAACAACAACCTAGAGAAGCAATGAAATACAGGTGGAATGGAATAATTGTTCTAGTAAAAGGGACAATATGATCTTAGGATGTTCCTAGGAAGGGTATCATGGAGCTTTGTTGTAGGGATGAGAGAAATGAAGTCGAGCCCGTGCAAAGACTGACGAAAGAATATGCCGCAACACCACCTTCTGCATCTTCTCCTCTTCCTTCACTTTCTCAAGCAGTGACGACCTATTGACCGAGCACACTCACTCATCGCCTTCCCATGTTCCAGGCTTTTCCCAGCCCAGCCACACCTTCTGCGCTGTGTTCCAGGCCTCTGCTTCGCTGGTGCGTGGCGAGTGCGTCCCAAGACGAAGCCTGCAGCCAATGACACGGCGGCCAAGACGTCACCGATAACGTCATTGCGATGTTTTCCGCGCACCTCCAAAACACCAGACATCCCAGCGCACTTTTTTGCTTCCTTCACACTACTGCGGACTGACTGCACTTTGAGCCGACGCGACCCTCTTGGATGTCAGACCCCTGGCCTGTCGGATCGCCTGTCAAAACACATCGATCTGATCTTCGCTTCCTCTCTCCAATCTTCTGCACGTCGCGGCACGTCACATGCAAACTCAAATAGACGAGCTGCCGATGCATCGAGCTGAGGCTTCGCGGCCGGGGTCGGGGTCGGGGTTGGATTTGGTGGCCTCCCACCACGTGCGATCCAAGATCTGACGATCGAGTGCATCTGAAGGATTTCCAAGATTTTACTCATTTTTTATCATTGATTCTATGGTTCCCAGTTACCTGGTTTAAGCTGCTGCCCAGTCACCCTGGACAATCACCCAACCCACACACATCGTCCTCCCCATCACGCCTTGGCCTTGATCTTGCCAAACGACAGCTTCGGGTCAAACTTTGCAATGTCCGTCTCGTTCGCCGCGGCCCCAAAGTCCCAGACAGTGTAAAAGTTGCGCAGGAACGGCGTGCCAATCAGCGTGAACCCGCTCGTCTCGCCGCCCTCGAACGGCGGCCAGCACGCGTCCTCGCGGTTCGCGAAGCCGGGCCGCTTCAGCTGCTCGCCCGTGATCTCGACAACCTGCGGCGTGCGGTAGTCGCCGAAGCTGAACTTGAAGGACCACGATGAGTTGAACTCGCTGCAGAGCGGGATGTGCTCGCCGTTGAGGATCGCCGTGTAGTTCATCCCGATGGACTCGTACACTTTCAGGTTCTGCGCCTCGGGCAGCGTGATGGAGCCCGCGCCCGTGTCGAAGACGACCCGGCCGATGTCAAAGTCCACCTCGGTCTCGGTGACGCTGCCGTTGGCGGTGGTGCGCGTGCCGTTGACCGCGAGCATGGTCGAGCGCCACACGTCGTAGAAGCCGGGGATGACGCGCGTGATGGGGATCGTGGTGAGGTCGCCGTCGACAAAATCGGCCTCGCGCGAGCCGCCGAGGGTGAGCACGCCGTCGCCGGGCACGCCGCCGGTGTTGGTGAACTCGGTGCCGTAGTAAATGCCAAACTTGGCGGCGTCGAGGTGTCCCTCGGCCATAAGGGTTTCCATGACGGTGTTGGCGCCGCCGTCGATGATGGAGCTGAAGCCGAGGCCCATGAAGCCGTCGGCGGCGAGGGCGGCCCAGTTGGACTCGTTGGCCGCGATGAAGGCCTGGTCCCAGGTGACGCCGCCGGCGGACCACACCTCGTCGACGGCGGGGCCCGCGACGCGCCCGCCGAGGTACGGGATGTCGGCCGAGTTGCCGGTGAGGTTGCCCGTGCTGGAGGCGGCGATGTCGTAGCCGGTGCGGTTGTAGCCGCTCACGTTGGCGCACTCGGTCTTGCAGGTGCTGTCGACGGCCCAGGACGACGAGCTGCCTGTGTCGAAGAGGAGGCGGTACGTCTTGGCGGGCGTGCCGATGTTGAACTCGACGGTTTTCTGACAGTCGTCAGTATTCAGGTCGTCAGTACTAGTTTAGATAGTAACTCACGTAGCCGTTGTCCACGATGATGGGCAATTCCATCACAGCCGCCGTCGCGACGGACGCGACCGCTGCCGCCGAGAAGAAACGAGTGACGGGCGACATTGTTGCAGTTGCAGTATTAGCACAAGTAAACAGTTAGAAACTTGCGTGTAGAACCAACAACTCAGGCTGGATGAAGAAACCCCAAAGACAGATCTCCCACCGGCCCGGGACGGACCACCTTAAATTCCTTCCAGAACCCAACCTTCCTGCGCCCCCTCGCCCGCATCGTGACGATCACCTCGTAAAAGGGGAGCGGGCTGTGGGGCGAGGTAATCTCGACTGCGCTGGGATGCTTGAGCCGGCCAACCCGTGTCGACGGAGCAGTCCTGGGGTCCTGGCTTGTGCATACGGGAATGCTCGGTTACCCGGTTAAGCTTCTATTTTCAGACGCAACTTTTCCAGTGCCGTCTCCAAGTTTTTTGTCACTTGCTTCTTTTACCTTTGGACTCCCGTGAAAGGCAGGTGGTTTGACATGGCGCCATTTCTCCCAAGCTGCCGACGGCGTGGGGTTAGTGCGAGAGAACACGAAGTTTGCGAACAAGACACAGCATTTAGGGAAATAACTCTGCGATCGGGAGGATGGACTGTTCAGCCCTACAAACCGGTTGTAGCTGCGTTGATGGGCTCCCTATCTAGCGGGGATTTAGGGAGGAAAGCATAAGTGCAGGTTTGACTCGTGTTCAGCGCTGCGGTTCGTCTCATGTCAAGCGACGATGGGGACGGCGAGATCAAGCAATCCCGGGGATGCTGTGGTTGATTGCATTGCCCATCAGATCGCCTGACTCTCTTGTGTCTTCTCTTATTCCCGTCTCTGGCGAGTCTTCGGACTTGATTCAGACAACACATCGTCACCGCTGACAAAGCGGCATCACATGTGAAGTCCACACAATAAACACTCTCACAACAATGAACTGTTCAACGCTTCATTAATAGGTATCTACAACTTGTCTACAGCGTCTTGATAGTAACAACACCATCGCTCAACCCCGGCCCCGACGCCGTAACCACAACCTCCCCCGTCGCCCCCTCGTCAAACTTGACAATCGCCAGCGCCAACCCGCTAAACGCCTTGCGCGTCAACGACGGGAACGCAACCAGATCCGCAGGATCACCATTGTCCGTCGCGACAATCTGCCCCGGCCCACTGATACTGAACGTGATCTCGTCTTCTGCAAATCGCACCAGGTCCCCCTCCGCGTCCCGCACCTCCACCGTGACGAACGCCAGATCGGCCCCGTCGGAAGCGATGGCCGTCCGGTCCGCCGACGCGGCGAGCTGCGTCGCCGCTCCGACGGTGCGCACAACGGATGTCGCCCACTCGGCGCCGTCTTTGTAGGTCACCACCTTGATCTCGCCGGGGGCGTAGAGGACCTCGTCCCAGCGGAAGCGGTACTCCCCCTCCGCGCGGGTGAGTTTTCCCTGGGACTCCCCGTTGACGAAGAGCTCGGCAGTATTGGCGGAGGTGAAGACGTGCACCGGCGTGACCTCGCCGACGCGGTCGGGCCAGTTCCAGTGCGGGAGCACATGTGCAAACTTCAAATCGGGCCGCCAGCGCGCCTGGTATAAGAAGAACCTATCCTTCCTGAATCCCGCGAGATCGATGATGCCGGAATACGAAGAACGCGCGGTGTAATACGGCGTCGGCTCGCCGAGGTAGTCCCACCCCGTCCAGACGAACTCGCCCGCCACAAACGGGTGCGCGTCCTGCGCCGCAAACACCTTGTCCGGCGCGGCGCCGAAGTTGGCCGAGTACAGCTCGTACCCGCTTACCCGCATCGACGTCGAATTCCCGCCGGACGTGTCGTTGACGGGGGCGCCCCCAGAGTCCGCGACGGGGAAGATGTAGCTCCCGCGCGTGGAGAGCGCCGACGCCGTCTCGGAGGAGAGGATCATCTTGTCGGGGAAGGCGGCGTGGAAGTCCGCGTAGAGCGGGTGCGTGCGCACGCCCGGGAGGTACGAGTACGCGGGCGTGTCGCGGATGCCCTCGCCCTGGTAGTTGAGGCTGAGCACGTCCATCGCCGTCGGGAAGGACATGTTGGGCTTGGCGAAGTTCATGCTGGCCGTCGAGGGGCGGGTGGGGTCTTCGTCGTTGACCATGGCGTGCAGCTCGAGGGCCGGGACGGTGCCCGGGTCGCCGATCTGTTGTTCGGAGACTTCGTTGCCGAAGGACCACATGACGACGGAGGGGTGGTTGCGGTCGCGGCGCATCATGGCGCGCAGGTCGGCCTCGTGCCAGTCGGCGAAGATGAGGTGGAAGTCGTTGGCGGTCTTGTTGCGGTACCAGGAATCAAAGACCTCGTCCATGACGACGAAGCCCATGGCGTCGGTGAGCTCGAGGAGTTCCGGGGCCGGCGGGTTGTGCGACATGCGGATGGCGTTGCAGCCGAGCTCGGCGAGGATGTCGAGCTGGCGCTGGGCGGCGCGGGTGTTGAAGGCGGCGCCGAGGGCGCCGAGGTCGTGGTGGTTGTTGACGCCTTGGAGGCGGACGTGGGCGCCGTTGACGAGGAGGCCGGCATCGGCGGAGTAGGTCACGGAGCGGATGCCGAAGCGCGTGGTGTAGGTGTCTGCGGTTTGGCCGTTGACGGTGACGGTTGTGACGGCGAGGTAGCGGTGCGGTTGCTGGGACGGGGGAGGGCCCCAGAGGAGCGGGTTCGTCACGGTGGTGGAGGATGGGGCAGAGGATTTGCTGCCCGCGGGGACGGTGAGCGAGGAGGCTTCGAAGGAGGACACCTTGTCGCCTGCTTCACCCGCGGCGGTGAGAGTGTAGACGTCAGTAGTGACCTGGATCTCCTGGTCTGCGGAGCCCGTGTTCTCGACTTCAACAACGAGGTCGAGTGTCGCAGACGACGAGGAGACATCCTTGGTGGTGATATACGTGCCCCATTGGCTGACAGCCACGGGACTGACCTTGGTGAGCCAGACGTTGCGGTAGATGCCGCCGCCGGGGTACCAGCGCGCCGAGTCGGGCGGGTTGTCGAGGCGGATGGCGAGGACGTTCTCGTCGCCCTGCGTCAGGTGCGGCGTCAGATCGAGGCGGAACGAGTTGTACGGGTACGGCCAGCCGCCGACGAGGTGGCCGTTGAGCCAGACCATCGCGTACGACATGGCGCCGTCGACGTCGAGGTAGACCGACTTGCCCGCGTCCTCGGGGTTCAGCGTGAGACTGCGCCGGTACCAGCCCACGCCGTGGACGGGCAGCCGGCCCATGCCGCCGCCGATGATGGGGTCCTCCTCGATGTAGAACGGGCCCTTGATGGCCCAGTCGTGCGGGAGGTCCACCGTCTCCCACGCGCCGTCGTCGAAGTCCGCGGACGCGTAGGACACATTGCGCATGGGCTCGCCGGCGGGGCGCTCGTGGTGCTTCGCGGCGTCGTTGATGAAGGTGTTGGCCGAAGGCAGGATCCAGTCCTTCAGCACGTAGATGTCGGTGAGGTTCTCGAGGTCCGGGCGGATGTCGTAGGCGATGCCGTCCGGGTTGAACTCGGAGCGCCAGAAGCGCCAGCCCTTGTTGATGCTGACGCGCTCGCGGCCGGCGGAGATGGTGGAGTTGTCCTGGCGCCGGATGCTCAGCGCCGCGGCAGAGCGGGAGAGCAGCAGGACAAGGAGGCTCAGGAGGAGCAGCCCGTAGGAGTGTGACCGTGGGGAAGACATCTTGCAAGAGGCTGATGCCGGGTTGCGGTGGTGGAGGTGGCCGTCATTGGTGAGAGAACGCCTTAAGGCGCGGTCTTATATGTCAAGCACATCTTAGCCATGGAAGGGATCCCGCCGGCTCGTCTCCATTGACGTAAACGCAGGTATGTAATGCCGTCGGATTCTTCCAGAAATCCGGCATCATCACCCCGAGAAAAAAAAAGGTGATGTACGCAGCAGCACCTCGGCTTTTCGATGCCCTTGTTGATGGGGTAATTTCGGGTGAAAAGCATCCCAGGCCCTCCGCACCCCGCGTTTCTCCGCACGGCAGCTGCTACGGTACAGGGATGCCGCCGGCAGGTATTTAGCCTGAATGTCACGCTCAATCTCGCGATTGGGCCGCGTGAGCCCGCCGAGGGCGCTTTTTTCTTGGAGATTGGATGATCTGTAGGTCAAAGTCTGTTTAAAGAGGCCTTTGCAGAGTTGGAGAAGCGGGGGAAGAAAGGGGCTGGGGGCGTACGCAGTAGAATGCCCACATCACGAGTGATGCCAGAGTGAGAAAGCGATGGCGAGCTCGCCTGGGGAAACCTTCTGCAAACGCTTTCTTTCACTATAACTTACGTGGTCAAAATCGCGTCATTCGGTGCGGTGTTGACCAGCGTTCGAGACGTCTTGACTTATGTGGCCACTGGGAAAACTGTCGTGATACAGCAAAGCAGGCACGGTTTCCTCCCTCATGACAAGCACTAGTGTGGAGGTCGTAATCGGTTTACGGGTTTTCCTTTAGTGACCGCCAGAGTCGCCCCTGAAAGGAGAAGACCTTCACGGGGGCGTCATCGTCAATGACTGACTGCTTTACTTCGACTTCATTCATCTGTGACGGAATGAATACGGCTTACGTTAATGACAGTTATCAGAGGGGAGGGCCTATGCGTAGCTCCGTGCATCTATTATCGACGGGACAGACTCAGCATTCCGTAGTCGGGCGAATCACCAAGATGGCATTTAGAGCTTCTTGGGAATTACGACTTTCTACTTCGGGCCTAAGATACCCCCTATTCACGGCTATGCACGAGTACCAGGTAATTTCTAAAGATCATCAAGCCATACAGTACTCGCCACTAGTGAAGTCCACGCCCACGAGTGGGTGGTAGACAAACTCGTCACACTCAGTGTCGTAGCCGAGTACATAAAATATGTACCAATCGTTCTGAGCATACATAAATCGACCATTGGGGACATGAGGGGGCGGCCGTCCGTTTTCCTCATTGTGCATCCACATAACCTCCCTCGGCGGGCAATCCCTTACGATCCAAGGGAGCCGTGTTCGTCTTTGAAGCTGGAACTCAGGACTTACGTGGACAAAATAATCATCCTCTATGCCACGCGGTTTGGAAAGTAACTGAGGTAAGTTGACGTTGACTTGGACGTCGCGACTTCTCAGCATAGGCATGATACCTGATAGACCCTGCAGTATCTGTGTTTCGGAGACATCTTCCCAGCAGAATTCCGTGTCGTGGTCGAGCCACAGACCAACCCGTAGTAGTGAGTTCATTGCTGCTAGGCTGGGCCAGATTCGCATCCACTGCTCGTACTCTCTTCGGCAGCCGCTGCCTTCCGGTGTGCCGCCGGGTCTTGGGAGCGTCTTCAGCTCCTCCATCTTTGAGAAGAAGGGAACGAAAAGAGTATTGACAAGGGCCATGGGAAGTCGTAATGTCAGATTGACGTTGCGCAGGGACGTGAAGAGGTGGCACTGCTTGAGCTCACGCGACGGTTGTGTCTCCGGAAGCTTGGACACTGTCTGCTGAATCGTTGTTGACAGAGCCAAGTCAATGGTGTCGAGGTCTGTAAGGTGGACGTGATGTGTCGGCTGGGAAATGAAGCCTATTACATCCGAGCATCTATCTCTGTGATTAGTCCACGAAGCGGACCATACAAATCAAGCAACAATTTCGAAAACGTACAGCCACTTCGATGAGAGTAGCAGAGGAAGCAGCGACATATGAATAGCAGTAGCTTGGCCCTCGGCGCCATCGAGGTATCTCTCCTCGCACCTCCAGTGACACCCCCAAGTTGAATCTACCCGCCGAATCCATTTAGGATTCTCATACTCCGGTTCATCTGCGGGGTATCGAGATGAATCATCTGCGCCTTGGCATTCCATGATCTGTAAATCGCCGTCAAGTAAAAACAGATGCGTTGCTGTTCCCCATAGCGTTCGATAAATATGATGTCGAACCTCTAGCGGCAAATCGAACAGAGGCGATTTCGGTGCTTCGCTAGTAGGAGGAGGCTGCTGCATATTGACCGGAAAAGGGATTTTGGCGAGCGTCTGCAGAGTAAGGAGTAAGTCGACACAAGTAGAATTTACTTAGTTGATATATGAAGGACGCGGTTAGCTTCGTGTCATCTGAGATGCCTGGAAATAATCAAGACGGGGAGAGGGGAGGGCACAGAGAGAGTATTGATGTTGGAAGGAGGGGAAGTGCACAAAGTGGGAACCTACATATTCATATTCCTTATGAGACCAACGCCGAGATGCCGCATCATGCAGGAGGGTGGCGTAGCACAACCGGTTTCTTGACCGCCAAAATAACGGCCATGAACCAACGAGATAATTGCAGCTAGGGGTCTTTATAAAAAGCCCAATTTTAGAGGAACCCACCAGCTATAGGGATAGCGCCTGTCCAAGCGGTTCAGCGAGGCGCATGGCCCTTGAGATTATCGATTGTGCGTGCATATTAGCATATCGGCATAAACGCACTGGCATTTACAGAGAACGGTTCATCCATGAATTTTCCCAGAGTTTTGAATTTTCCCCGTTCTCAAAGATGTCGACCGACTCAAAGTGCTGTCGTAAGTAACCTGCAGCGAATAATCTACCTTTCACTATGCTGAATTGTGCTTCTATCCCAGGCGATGACGGTAAGCCTGCATTATCAACAACTGACAGTCTAAACGATCGCAAATTTGGGGCTTGTATATTTTCCCGGATGTTCTCAAAGCCCTAAAGCAGGGATGGACAGGCTACGCTCCCACGAACCATCTGGTCCCTAGGCCCTGTTCAGGTTGTAATTGCCCCCTAATGCTTTGAGAAGCGACTTACTTGACATTGGCGAAGTAACACCAATCAAATTATACCATCCTACATGTAGTTTCCCCCATGTATTATTTGGTTACCCATGTGAGACCTTTCAAATTCTTTACTGTCCATGTCCCATCCCATCGCATCAAACATCATCCAGTCAAAATTTGGTTCTGAAATTTGGTCCTTCGGGTACTCAGGAGGAATTTCTCTATTCTCGTTGTTGACCGCCCACTTAACCCCGGGTTCTCCCTCATGCATCACGTTCTTATCTGCGTACATCCACGGCAGACGCGTTCGCCTTTGGAGACAGAACTCGGGCTCTTCTCCAACGAAATATTCTTCCTCCCTATAACTAGACCTTTTGTCAAGGGGAAGCCGCGGGAGGTTTACACATACCTCCACTCCGTGTTTGGTCAAGCCAGACATGACATCGGACAGGTCCTGCAAGATCTCCCTTTCATTTACGAGATCCCAACCATAGTACTCGTTGTGGTCGAGCCAGAACGAGAACCGCTGTAGATGCGGGAGCTCCAGCAATGACGACCAAAGCCGCTTCCAGTGCTCGTACTGCCTCAAACAGCCGCTTCCTTCTGGCGTAGCAAATTGCCTCGGTGGCGTGCCCCGCTCACGTTCCATATGCGGCTTCGAAAGGTAAGGCACATATAGTGTGCCCAAGAGACGCAAGGACGCACGCAATGTGAGGCCAATGTTATGTACCGATCTAAAAATTGACCATCTGCCCCTGTCACTGGTGCTTCGAGCAACCGAGGAGGCACTTGCAGACAGAAAGCAGTCGATTGTCTCCAAGTCCGTAAAATGAACGTACTGAGTCGGATGCGAGGAAATTGGACGACGTCAATGTACCTGTGAGACACATTCGAATGTGAGCCTTTTCCACAACCGAAGGCTGTTATGTTTTCGATGACTTACATTGTTTTCGAAGTAAGCAAGAGCGAAAGCAAAGGCATGTGTGAGATTCGATCGTCCCCTTCAGCACCATTCAGGTAAATTTCTTCGCATTTCCAGTGGCATCCCCAGCTCGATTCAACTCGACGAATCCAGACTGGGTCGTCGAACTTGCACATCTTATCCCATTTTGGCATCCTATGTGACACATCGTCTGTGCCCTGGCATGGAACCATTTGAAGGTGTCCCTTGTCAAGGAATACATGCGTTTCCGCGCCCAAGAGCTGTTGATAAATTCGATGCCGGATCTCCAAAGGAGCTGCGAACAAAAGTGATCCATGAGCCTGGGTCATTTTCGGATGATTGTGTCAAACAGTGTAAGTTTCTGAAGTTTTGTGTTGTTGAAGCGGCGCTGTGATTGCTGCAAAGGTGGGTTGGGAAGTAGGATGGTCAGGCTGTTTTAGTCGTGGGGATCAGGTATTAATAGGAGATCGCTGTTGGTAGGCCAAGGGGAAACATCCATGGGCAATGGACCAACAGCGGAATATCGCCGCTGCTGGTGTGTTTGATTGGCCGCAAAGTAGCCTGCTGCCGTCTAGGTCGTACGTGTGTTGGGCCCCATCGTCCATTCTTCAGTCATACAGGCTTTCTTGGCAGAATACCCCCAAAACAAAACCGTTCGAAGTGAATCAAGGCTCCAACGCGAGATGCACGCACGAGATGCACGCATCATGCAGTCGAACTAACAGGCTTTATTCAGTGGGTAAATCAGGTTCAGAATTTTGCTAGCAACATGGAAATAATTACACACTACGCCCATTCCTCCATTCTGAGCCCGGTAATGTTGCCGTCATAGTGCTTCAACTAAACCACCACAGAACGGTCCAAAACATCATTGGATACAGTATCATCCTCAGTTCCCAGTTTTTGAGACTTTTTATTCCGTATAACGATACTCTGTAGATGCATAACTCTCATGACTTTTCAGCCCCAGAAAAGACAATAAGCGTATGCGCCTGGCCATGAGTGCGCTAATGACCTGACGAGTCGTACTAATTGGGGACGCGTGTCGTCGCAAGATCCCAATTGGATCTTTTATCTGCTACATGCCATAACTATGCTTCTGTAGGTCCCTGTTGATTGTCGTCTCTGTGAAGCCAACAGTACTTGATATCTGCAGCAAACGTGTACAGCATCCTGAACAAGGAAGCCAGCCTGAAGGGGACAAATTTGAACGATACGCATTGATAGTAAGCTAGATGAGATGCACAGAGACATCATCAGACTTGCGGGATCTCGTGAATGATACCCTTTTCATCCACGTAATGATGCATCGTCCAAACCTTGAGCGCAATTGCCAACATAGAAATTGAATCTATGGATACCAGTTAGCTAGAATCGCAATAAACATCGAATAGGGGTATATAATGCGTGTGACCGGGGGCAAAGGAAACGTCGGCAGCATATTATGAAAACGTGAACACACCTGCGTTGAACTCAGCTCGAATGGATGGTTCCGCACCCAGCTTCAAAACGCATTCCCACTCGTAGCAGCTGGGGATCGATTCCGCCAATCGCCCAGAGACAGAAACATCATCCAGCTTTCCCCCCTGCGATGTGTGAGTCACCTGCGAGAAGAGTTAGATCAATTTGTCAATATGAGCCGAGGAAGTTTCTGACCTCGTGGAGAAACGTAGAGCCTATTGTTTTCAGACCATCCACCGGCAGTGATCTGGTAGACCTGGCTCTATATTGGACTGACTTGACCGTGGCAAGACGTGCATCGTTGATGCGAGGCCAGCCTTCTGTAACCGCGTCGTCGATGAACCATGTGCAAATATCTGTTGAGCAAGCGTCGTCGCTTTCCCGGACATAATCCTTTGCTCGGGCGTCAGCATCAGTCTCCTGAGCTTTGAACCATTCAGGAGTGTTCAATCTGTCTGAGTCCATGGTGATCATTTTCGCAGCTTGATGCCCTAATCCTGGTCGATAGTTGAGTAACATATTTCCATTCCAGGCCATTTCTTCGGGGAAATGGCCTTGCTCGTTGTCCAGGCATGACTTCGATATTTTCCCTCTGTATTGTAGAACCTGTCCCTGTCGCAGTAAATCTCCTATGAAGTAGCAGAGATGTCCGTGTCAGCAAGAAGCCCACCATATTAGTACAGACATGCTCCATACTCGAATTTTCCGTCACTAATGATTCGAGGCAGAAACATGTATTAAAATTCATAAGCTTACCCAATCCTTGTTGCTTTTTCCGGCTCGAGATGCCCATTCAGGTGATAGAGGCTGGAGAGGACTAGGTTCGCGTTCGAAAGCAGCGACACGTTCGAAAATGCCTATTCACAGATGCATCAATAAGCTTGTTCCGGACCAAAAGTATGATGCTTATGTGTGTTGCAGTACCTCTTACGAATTCAAAACGAGTTTGAAAGGTGTCTCTATCTCCCAGCACCAACCTGCTCATCTTCTGAACCCAGGGGTCGTCGGCGTGGTTTCGCATAACGCTGGCTGCTGTTTCAGCCAGCTCAAGACCCTCAACAACCGATTGCTTTAGGTTTTCCCGTATGTTCTGACCCTTGAACATATCTGTAGCCCAAAAGTTTGGTCAGACCTCGCCTTGTACAAGTGCATCGCCAGAAGAAAGACATTGGGGGGAATTTCTCACCGCAGCCCTTGTGGATGGTCCATTTCGGTGTGGTTTGAGCCAGACCAAGTGTGATCAATGTCATTACAAATATCTGAGCGGGAATCATGTTGATCTTGTGGCAAGAAAGCGAAAATAAGTTGGATGCTGAAGCGTGTTCAAGTGATCGATGTGGATGGCTGTGTCGACAGTTGGGTGAATACCCGTGGGTGGTGCTTCTGAGTCTCTTATACATCGTCGTCTACACAAAAGGGGGTCTTGCATGTTCTCAGTCCTTTCCTAAGACATGGGCCTCTCAGAGGACTCAATTTCCACCTCCCGCCGACCCCAATGATCCAATGCAATTGAGTTCGACATCTCAAAGGCCCGTCTGAAGGTCTTTGGAGCCAGCATTCGCATCCGGTACTTGATCACACCACGGGGGCTACCGCCGGACCTCCATTGAGCTCTGTTGGAACTACGTTACATTGATTACAACCGAAAGGCCTCATTCTGTCCCTTAATATGGACACTGTCGTTGAATGTTGGTTGGTTGGAGGAAAGCCTTGAAGAAATATACGGCGGTGACGGCGTTGGTGGGCTGTGTGCATCGAACTTGGTTTCTCCAGCCAAATGCAGTTGGTTCGAGAGTAGCTCTGAAGTCTATTTCAAGGATTCATCAGCCCCCATCCCCTTCTTCCGAATGAGAAAATGCATATGGGGGCTGGTTGGGATCGACCGGCGGAATTAGTTGTGACTTTCACAGGGGGGAAGAAGTGGTGGAGGAAATAAACAACCTGGAACGAAATGACCTGACGTTGGTCTCTCAGGCCGTCCGCACGAAGGACTGGAAGTAAACCAACTGGCCCCCTAAGTGCACACCCAGGTGGAGCAGCGGAGATCAGGTGGTGAGGGATTTCTCCAATCTGGGGGCCTATGCGGCCGCCTCTGGGCGTGCCGGAATGCTTCGTTGTTCGTTATTTCAGGGCAGAAAGTCGCATGAGCGTGGACCAACAGTCGAAGATTCATCCAACAGCCAGCTTTGTGGCTCAGCCCAGCAGCGCATAAACATACATATCGCCCCAACACACATCAGCCCTGGGGGCTGGTGCCCCTTCTCCAGGTTCACCCAACAGGAACAATACCACATGTATCGATCTTGACTGTTGTTTAGATGAGAATGAAAGACAGAAATAGGACTAATCGTGTATCTTTCTCGTGTCATGATGATGTATCTGCAACCCACACCTTTCCTGACTCAATGCTGTCCAACATCCAACGCACTTATCACAGTTCCAACCCTTGGTCGCAGCTTTGGGGGCTGGGCGCGAACGAAGATGCTTCAATGTATGGAACTTGCCTGACGACGCAACAAGTGGTCATGCAGGGGGGCATTTCGTAAGTTGACAGCCCCGACGCTCCGAGTGAGTGCTTTTCTCTACATGTACCTTTACATTGCCAACGAATTCGGTCAAGATTCTCGAAGACCCTCGTACTATATAATGTCCGGTCGCACTGTCTGTGAGACTGTCATTGTTTCTCGACCAAGAAGAGAATCAAACTTGTATTCGCTACTTGTTCATCATTGTCGAGGTTTAGCCTATCTCCGTGCTACTCGTGTTCATCCAACATTTCATCACCTACTTGGTACATCATGAAATCTCACAAAGCCGTTCAACGTCGATTTGCGTTTCTTTCCGTATTATTGTCACATCATGTTGCTGCCATGAGCACTGTCACACCAGCAGTCCAAGTCGGCGCAGTGGTCCCTACCGCAACTGGCCAAGTGGGAGTCAACCCGGTCAGCATTCTTCCTCCAGCTTCAGTCTTGTAAGTCAAAACACTGCCTCAACCAACTATTCGTGGAGGAGAATTGACCGCAATATTCACACCAGCCAAGGTACTGTAACTCCAGATCTTGCGCGCGGTACCATCAGAACGATCACACGAGGACCGAGCTCTCGACCGGCCACCACAACACGAGAAGCTTTTTTCTCCGCGACTACCAATGCTGCCGGCGACATCGACATCAGCATCATTGACCCGGCCCTGGAGGCCTTTCTCGAGGATGCCGCACAGAATGTGCCGGCTTGTGGCCTCAAGCGCCGGGCATACTGCGGTGCTAGGGCCTTCGTTGACCATTTCGAGACGCAATTCGACAAGTCGGTTCAAGTCGTCGAAGACCTTGAAGAAGCAATATTTGAAGGAGCGCCCAAGCATCCTATCAAGATTGAAGTGGAAAAGGCAATTGATCTGACTAATGCTGAGGGTGAGGCTGAGGCAGTTCCCGATGTGGCTTTAGCATAATGTCGAAGGCGAGGTCACTGCAGTCGAGGCTGGTGCCCCTGCAGCTATCGGAGCCCTCGGTGTTGGCTTTCTTGCGTATGCTTTTCATGTTTACGGCGCAACGAAGAACTCTGGCAGTACAAAGCCGTTGATCACTGGGATTCATGTTCCCTCAGCCTCCCTCAAAGCTGTCAAACAGACCAAACGACCAACGAAGACTGCCACGGTCTCGACGAGATCATCGACGACCACAAGATCATGCCCCGACCCAACAAAAACCCCAGTGAGCTTATTACCTATAGCACCTTATGAAAAAGTCTGCTTTTCTAACAATCAGACTTAGTTATTGTGCAATTATGATGACGAAAAGTTGGATTGCGATTCGAAGGTGTCTGGTAAGGAGTTGGTGTGCGAATCGGTAAGAAAACCTATTCAAGAAACAGCCAGTCTTTGCAAACTGATCTCTGAGGCACAGGGTGAACATGAAGGGTGCGAGTGTTTTGCGCCCATGATTTTCAAGGGCGCAGGAGCTTCCGAGGAGGAACGGGCAGCTATGGCTGAAATTGCCGAACTATTCAGGACTTTGCCAAAGGAGTTTCCAAAACTTCCTAGACACGGTGAATGTTCCAAAAAGATGGAGAACATGAGTCCCAAGGTCTTCAAGACGTAAGTGCTCCTGCCGTTTCCCAAAGAAATAGTACAGCAGGTTTGGCTCCTTCTTGAACTAACTTGTGTATTATATCCAGTCTTGCCGATAGATTCTGCACTGACAATTTCAGACTTGATAAAGACGCATCAGATTATTACACTCCAGCAGATGCTTACAGCGATGCATACAACCGATACAGCTTCACCCTGGATTGGAAGAAAACCGGCAAACAAGAGTGTTCGAACCAATGCAGGCAGATCTTTGAAGGTTTTACAACCAACACCGCGTGTGAGTAAAATTCATCTTTTTCAGTGATCTGGACTCTGACAATAGCCTAGGCTCCTATGATTCCCATACAATGGCCCACAACGGTACCTTGGCCTTGGACTGTGGAGTGGCCAGCTTCGAGATCTTCAACCCAGACACGGCATCCAGCGGCCCAACTTGCAAGAACGACGCCAGCCCAATCCCTTACAACGTCTTCTCTGGCTCTGATGGCATCATTTACAAGGAGTTCTGCCAGAAATGGGACGCCAAGTCAGGTCTGCGCATGGTTGTGGACTCCAAGGGGACTTCGAAGATCCCCAAGCCGCAGCTGGGAAGACGCACCCCACCTGCGAGTCAAGACACCTGGCTGAAATACAACTTCGAGCTCAACTACAAGCCTGAGACTGGTGCGCAAGCTGGCGCGCAGTGCAAAGTTACCTGCAAGGACGCCTTCACTGCCTTTGCCAACTCCAAGTGCGGCCAGAAGGGAGGTCAAGGAAACACCATGGCCAATTATGCCGAGTATGACGCGGGGTGTGGAAAGTTCAGTTACCAAATCACCAAGCCGGTTCCAAAGACCCTTAGTGAGCCTAAGTGCTTTGGAACCGACGAGTTCGGTGACCACGAGGACATAAATCCGTCTTTCCAGGAGCAGTATGTTGGACACGTATGCACCGGCTCGGCATTGTGGAACATTACCAAGGGCGACTCGAGCACCTTTATTCACTTTGACACAATTACCAACAAAGCACCGTACCAGCTGAACGTTTATTGGGCTGACGGATGCTCTTTGGAGACAACGGGGGAAAACATCCTCTTGTGGAAGCCTCTTGGGGACCTGAATGCGGCCAACTGCGCGAGTCTTCTCCTGGACAGTTACAAAAAGTGCAACAACGAGGGAGCAGGCGGGCGAATTCAGGCAGGTTGCCTTGTGTATGAGTTCAAAGCGTCGACAGAGAGGCCATCGTGGTACATCCCAAAGTAAGCGGCTGCGTGCGCACGAAATTGTCGCTGTTATGAGAGGAAGCTCCATCCGCCATTGCTAATGGGCGGTTTGGGGGTTTCGGTGGGTGAATTCGAGTGCTTCAGCTTCTAGTGGAACCTATAGTCAGCTTGTACGATTGATATCATAGAGTGTCGATGGATGTAGCGGAGAAGTGAATAAACGGAAATGAAATGTTTCTGTTTGTTTTTGGCATGATTTGTCGTTGAATGGGAGAGTCAGTGGCAGTCATATCCAGATCGGCAGTGTGAAGCATCGGGTCGCCGTTTAATATGATCTGTGCATATTGGTTGAGGTTGCTTTCAAGGTGCATTCAATCCATGTTTCGTCTTCCGCAATCTCTCTTGCATCTCCAGCTAGATCTTCCTGTCACCTGTGGAGGGGTGAAGCACGCAATTATGTAGGCCAACTTCATTACATAAGGGCACGGGGCCGTCATTTACGCCCGATACGCCCGCTAAGCTTAGGTCTGTCGTAAACCAAATGGCGCCTCGGTTGTGCCAATCAGAGACAGCTTTTAGCTCCGGCTCAAAACACCACGACCCGCCAAGCATGGCACATCTGTGTGATGCGAGTATTCGCTCGGTTTCGCGTGGTTGAGTCAGAGATACCATGGTTACCTACGCTGAGTCACCTTGTAAAAGAAAACCTATTAAAGCCGTATGAGACAATCGGACTCTCAAGTTTCTCGATTATGTTTGGCAATTGAGTTTTGAGGAGAAAAGCCTACACACTCTGCGTCAGCACTCTTCCATACGCCGCAATCACACTAAAGCAAAGATGGAATCCACTGCATCCCAACTACGCAGTCGGAGATGGACGCGGGACTCCTACCTCATCTCCACCGACACCAGCCTCGTTCCTATCCCCGAGCTTAATGCAGCTTTCGCTTCTGAGGAGTTCTACTGGGGGAAGCCGCTTCCCGCACCAGTCATGAGAGAGACTCTCCAGAACTCGCTCTGTTTCGCTCTCTATGATATCAAAAGCCATCCCGTCAAAGAAGCCAAGACGCTTCTCAGAGCACAAGCCGCCAGCTCAGACGAGGTCTCAACCCCAAAGGCCGAAAACGCACCAACACTGCTCGGCTTCGGCCGCATCATCACCGACTACACCACCATCGCATTCGTAACGGATGTTTGGGTTCATCCTTCGACGCAGGGAAAGGGCCTGGGCACTTGGTTGGTGCAGTGCTTGCAAGAGGTGATTGAGTCGATGCCGCACCTGCGCAGGAGCATGCTGCTCACGGGTAGCTGGGACAAGTCGGTGCCGTTCTACCAAAAGTTGATGAAGATGGACTTGATGAATGAGAACACCGGGAAGAATGAGCTTGCTGTTATGACTATGATATGGAAGGGAAACGGCCATTGGGTTGAGCCGGAGGCGTAATGACATTTTAGCATGTAGCTTAGGGGCGTATGACATGATGATTAGAAGAACATGATGCGCATGAGAAAATCCTTTTGTAAAGAACACTGTGAAGGTCCTTGAGATCTAGCAAATTTCTAGATTTCTATTAGTCTATAGAAGGTCTCTGCGCATGAAGACGGTGTGTCTGCCCAAGGGGTTTCCGTCCTTGTCAAAGTCAGGGTAAAAGTTCAACTCCCTCCAGATGACTTTGTAACCTCGTCTCGCATACCACAGCTCGGTGGACATCTTCACACACCTTGTTAGCATTTAAGCAACATTGGATCTCATGTTTGGAGATTACTCACAGCGGGAGGCCGCCCATCCACATGTTGGAACAGATCCTCTCTATGCTGGTCCTCCTTTGCTACGGTGTCCAGCATCAGGACTTTGGCGCAAAGCGGCTCGCTGGTAGCCATGCCCTCAACCTCATCCATCGCGGCTCGGCCGATGCCCGCACTCTGCAGCGCATACGAGACGTAGAGGCTCTTGATCCAATACAAGTTTTCTGAGGGAATGGGGAGTTGAAGTCGCTTTGCGGCGGGGTTGTCAACGTCTAGTGAGATGTGCCCCACGGGGTGAAAAGTGATGCCGGCGGGACTGCGGGGAGTTGCGCGGAGGGAAGTTGCAGTATCTTTCAGAGGCTCTTTCTCCTGTCATATTCTGTGAATATTGTGGTCAAGAACAATAGATTAAAGGTCGGGGGCGAACCTTCGGGAAACGAGTTGTGTGTTTTGAGAGCTTAACCTCAGCGTCAGGGTCATCCGGGGCAAATGCCTGCGGGAATGTCAGCCGGCTTGCTTCCTGAGAGCTGCCATATGGTTCAAATTTTGCCGCTCTTATGGGCGTCAAAACTTACGATCCAGTAGATGCACTTCTGGCCAGATCGTTGGTCCTCTTGCCATTCGGGAACTTTGTCAAAATGCCAACCGCACTCCGTTCGTTGATCCACCATCCGAGTCGCGTGCGCAGGTGAGTCTGGAGCGAAAGGGACTAACTGAACCTTTGATTTCGACATTTCGATGGTGTTTTTCCGTGATGAAAATTCAACAACTAAAACTGGAGATGATGGGAAGCTTTTGCATCCTAGACGATGAGTACTCCTGATGAGTTCCGAGGGGCTTTTGTACAGATAGTCAATGATGCAGTGACTCAATCCCACATCTCGGCTTGACCCACCACGACAGACTTACTATCTGTTAGTGTTTAGCCGGTGACTCAACAGAGTTACTAACATGCTGTGTCGGCTCAGCTCACACCCTGACTCTCCCGTCGTATCGGCCTCGGCCCCAATCAGCGTGCCGAACAGTGACATTAGCATGTCGTCTCAGGGCGCGCTCAAGGCGTACAAGGCATCTTCAGTAGACATGACAACTCAGCCACCTATGTCTTTCTAACGCAGCACACAAGATAAGCTCATCGAAATTGCAAAGCCATGGCTATCCCAGCATTTGATCTGATTGATATGATGGTATTACGTGCATGAAAAAACAAAATGTCGCTATCGCTCCTACTCCGAACATGAACGAGACCCAACCCAATCTAAAATAATGCCTTCTAAAATGCGTGCTGGTCCAGCGGGTGTCTACTGCGGCGGCATCAAAAACGTGCCGTTCGCAAGCCACGTCCCCGCCGGCGTGTAGTCTAACGTTACGCCATCTTTCATGTATGCAAATCTAAAATACTCTGGCAGCGCCAGCTTCGGCTTCCTCATCCAGATGAACTGGTTGTCGCTGTCCCCGTCGGCGAAGTAATACCGATACCGCTCCACGTCGTTGACCAGAGCGCTGATGCCGTCGAAGCGGGTGCCGTTCGGCGGGAGGAGCCAGCTGAAGGTAATGCTGGGCTCGAAAGACCCCGTCGAGAGAATGGGCTTGGCGATCTCGGGGAGCAGCGAGTTGAACGGGCCGTCCTCGCGGAGCGCGTCGGGCGTCTGGAGGATGGAGTCGAAGCCCCAGCGGGCGATGCCGTTGACGAAGAGCCCGAGGACCATGCCTTGATAGAATAGCGATGACCGCGTCTGCATGCTTGTGCCGGGGATGAGAAGGAAAGTCATGATGTAGTGGTGAATGCGAAGGTCGACGCCGGGTATCGAAAGGCCAATGATGATGCCGAGAAGGAACAGGGCGTAGAGGGCGAGGAACTTGGGAAGCCTGCCCTCCAGCCAGAAGAAGTAAACTTGTTTCGCCATGACGAAGGCGAGGATGGTGAGGATGAGGGCCAAGGCGGGCTTGGCTCCGGGCTGCGACTCGATGTCGTGGGCGGTGAGGCGCTGGATCGGCATCCATGCGAAGGTGTAGTTCGACAAGGCGCCGAACCAGAAACCTCCCAGCCAGAGGACGGTCTTCTCACACTGGGCCTTGAGGCCGGTGAGGGTTCGTCTTACAGCGATCCAGTACATGACGACGGCGCAGAAGGCCGCCGGGAGAAGCCGGCCGGTGAACATTGAGATCCGGTCCGGGAGGACGGTGGCGACGTGCCGGGAAGTCGTCGGGGGGTCGGAGCCGAAGCTGACGTGGGCGAAGATGCCGAAGAAACTGACGAAGAATTGCCATTCGGGCGATGTTGTGAAGATGGAAAAGATTGTGGTGAAAAATAGTGATGTCGGGAGGAGGATCTGTCGCGGATCTCTCTTGCCGCACTGAAGACTCGGGTCTGCCGTCAAGTTGAATGAGAGCGGGAAGTACGAATCGAATGAGATCGACTCAACGCCATTCTTCGTGGAGCTGTTGAACCTCTCATACTGTCCAATCCGGTGAATGCGCCCGCACCCTCCGCTCAAGTCAGTGACAATCCCCGCGTGGATAGCCGCCGCGCAAATCATCGAGTCGCCGCGGTAGACCCCATCGCCGACAACCAAATGCTTGTACACAATCTCTTGAGGCCCGACGTTATGCGGGTTCAAAAGCTTGTGAGCCATGCAGTTGGCCGGGCACTTGAATGAGAAGGATGAGTTCGTGAACGGCCGGCAGTCAGCGCCGTCAAGCCCGCAGTCGTTCTTGAACTCCCACAACGCGTCCGAGCAGTCGAGGTTCATCACGTCCTGGCCGAAGCTGTCCTTGATCGCGCGGGATGAGCTGAGTGGGATCGAGAAGGCGACAACCCATAGAGCGAGGAACACGGCGACGATGCCGGCCTTTCGGCGCGGCGTCGGGGCGATGCGGTCGAGCAGCCGCGGGGGGATCTCCTGGACCCACGGCAGGATCGGCTTGATGGTGCGCACCCGCGGCGGCTGAGGGCCGTAGAAGCAGTGTCGCTTCTTTGTCGCGGGGAACTTTTGCTGCATGATGGACGACGCGCTGGAGCCGCTGTTCCTCGGCTCGAGCTCGAATTCCTCGGCGTCGAGTAGCTGGGCCTCCTCGTCCAAGCTCCCGCGTCTCGTCGGCGCGTCGGGCTCTGGGTCGTCGGTGAAGGGCACATCGTCGTGAGAGCCTCGTCGGCCTGCATCACCGGGGGCGCCCATCTTCGGTCCTCCGGTCTCTTTCTCACTCTCACTCTCACTCACTCGCTCTCTCTCTCTCTCTCTCCACGCCAAGCCCTTTCACAATTCAATCCGCCGTGCAATGAAGCTTCCCAGTCTCACAGTGTCGCTTTCATGTGTGAATTATCCTCTTAGCTGGTTGTCAGAATTGGCCGTCTGCCGTTCTTCTGTTGCTGACAAGGCTCTTCGGCGGTCGACGGTCGATGGTCTTGGGTGTGTGTTCAGGGGTGGTGAAGAGAAAGCGCCACGAGATTTGCGGCGACGTGGTCGAATTTAGACTTTCTTGGAAGGCAGGACGCCGCCGACGTGGAAATTAGCACGGTGATCGGAAGGATCAGAGGGGCGTCCAGTAATAATACCATTTGCTTCCAGCGGGTGCGCTGCAAATGGACGAAAGATGACCGCCCGCCCCTCGCCCCCCTTCCTTGGCTTTTGTTGTGTTGGTCTCAGGGGGTACGAGCTGTTTTGAGACACGAGCGTCTGAGCTTTTTTCTCTTCCCTTGTGCGGATAATGGGCGACTGAGACAGTTAGTGGAGACAGACTATTGCGGTAAGCGGCACGTTCGGCCTGCGTCGATCATCTCCTCGGGTTGCCTCTTTCGCTCTGTCACGTTGCGGGCTGTTGTTTTCGTGTTGGTTGCCGGTTGAAAGACGCGCCCAGACCGACGGAACGAACGTGGCCTCGAGATGCAGCAAGACACAAAGAGCGTGAATGGCCAAACGGCTGGCTTCGTGCATCGCAAAGTTGCTTTCATTGGTGTTTGTCTCTCGCTGCCCAACTTTGGGGCGGTTTGGCTCACTTAATATGAAACTGCAAGGGACCCTGGCCAATAGCGCTGAAGATAAAATTTCAGTTCGAGGCCTGAAACTAAGATTGGACAGTGACACATGACACAGGCGGTGAAGAGGCTTTTCAAATCAATTGAGAACACCAAATGTTCGCTGCTTGTCGCCATCGTGATATGCAGGTCTGAATAGGAGATTGGTGCATTCAAGATGCCCAATTACTGTAACGTTTCTTCAACAGTGCACTTCGTTACAACAGCCATTTTCGAGAACGCCAGATGAGCGCGTTCAGTGCGGCTAGTCATTGAGCGGTGTGCAGTCTCACCGATCGGGAAACCGGAACTCGGCAGTGCCATTAATGCACTCTTCAGACGCAGGTTCCCATGTCGCCACCATGGTGCAACTACTCAGTGCGAAGCGAAAATGCTAAAGATTATCATCGATAGCGAAGTTGCATCGATGCGAAGCGGCCAAGATGCCAAGATGGTGAAAATAGTTTCTCAGGAGCTCGATGGCTGCCGTTGAAACAAAACCTCCAGTGTGCAGGGTATCATGACGTCTCACTGCTACCTTCGGTCTCTCCAACGTAGTTCCGTGATGAATCACACTAAACCCCATGCTTTCACCTTGAAGTCCATAGCAAGAGCCTCTGCAACCAGCTTTACAGGGGCTCGTGCCAAATAAGTATGCGGTTAACAATGCTGGGTCACAGAGAATCACTTGGGCATTTTCAGGGAAACGGCTCAGAACACCACCAATTTCATTTTTGCAATAGAAATACACGTGAGGTAGAGTGATCATGATGGATCAGCTATGCAACCAATTGTCTGTGACTTTATCCTAGCTAGCCCAGGGACAGCAGTCTTATCTTACGACTGCCTCAGAGCACACCACCAGATACGTAGTTTCGGGGGAGTTACAACTTATTCGACTCAGCGGCAGCATCGAACATCTTGACTAAATTCGCGAAGCTACGAGCCTTGAAGGTATGTGCGGACCATGTTCCTAATTACAATGCGTTACGGACGACCTGGTCACAGGTTCTCCTACTTGCAGGAATGCACAAGTTTGACGTTTGTCTCATTTTGGGTTAAGGCGTGCATTGGGTGGGACGCAAAAAGAGTTGCTAGATTTACCTACGCTATGACGAGATCAAGAAACTCTGCAGTCTTAATATCTAACCCTCAAGTCCTACGAGGTGTCAATCTGATATCCAATGATAAGCATCTCTTCGGACATGTTCATGTCAATATGCGAGCCTCATATATACAACGAGAATGGAAGCTTGGGCAGATCGAAGAAGTCGCCGCTCATTCCAACATCTTTGTTACTATATGCTACCGTGAGTTCCCGCAGGTCCCTATTTCTCAATAGTCCCATCGACAATCTCCTTGTTGTCAATGAGGACCTTCTCATATCCAACCATGACCTCGCCTCTAGTAGAGTCGATCCAGCTTTTCTCTAGCTTTCGGCCAATTTCATGATACTCCGAGTCACTTGCAAGTGACATATCCTGCATCCAATAGGTGAGGACTGCATGCGAGTTGATGACGGCCCATCCTGCCTGGAACCTTTCCACCATCGCGGCGGGAGCTCCGCAGACATTGCTAAGGCAGGAGGTCCGACGTCTAGTGAATCATACATATCATAACAAGCTTTGGCGACGGGCAATTGCCGTCACACTTCTCAAAATCGAGTATTTCATAGCCGTATGTCGCTTGACAAGTTTTGATTACCGAGGCGGGATTGATGTTGTCGCACACGTGCTTCTCAAAATCCTCATCAGTCTTATCAGCATCCTTCTGGTGGAAAACAAAGACTTTAAGAACGTCGCGAGGAGACATTTTGAAAATTCTTAGGGTATCAATCAACAAGAGCAGTATGTTCCGGAGGAGGCGCCGTTGAAGTCGTTCTCGATTGGGATGGAATCAATTCCTTTTGCAGTGAATTCGAAAACTATAGAAATAACCAACGACCAGTCTCTGATGTATACCTTTGGCTTCTGTTTTGACTCTCGCCATTTGACCACCAGCTAACAATTCACCAAAGGTCCCTGAACCAGGCAGCGAACTCCGCACCTCGAGGGTTGGGACTTTGGTGAGTCGGCGGAAGAGCTCTGCTTACGGACCCATTTCGGCGGCCATTTCCAGAAAGACGCAACTCGCATAAGCTGTACGCCACATTGGCGCATGTAAGTCGAACAGTTGTGCAGCCGTTGTGAATTATTGCGTCAACTTGCGGAGTTGGCCCATGTTATCATGCGGCACCGGCGGAGTTGGGTTTACTGCCACGTTCGCCGCTACTGGTAACCAGAAACAAGGCAGTCGATGAATTCACTCTCACTCATTTATCATCAGATCAAGTTTTTCATAGCGCAGTCAAAATCAAACTCCAAAGTCTCAATTTGCACTTGATCTATACTTGCTGCGCTTATCCGTTCGGCAATCCGTCGGGTCACGTCATACCTGCACCTCATAACAGTGATTGCTTCCACCGTGTCCTTACGGTTTGCCTTTGAGCGATACTTTTCCTCAGCATCTTTATGAACAAAGACGTCGAGCCGGGCGCCAAGCATGTTCTCACCCCTTACTTGAATACGACGATCAAGGGCCTGGCGAACGGCGGGCTAACGCCCACTCTCCAACAATGGATGCGGATACATGTTACTCGCTCTGTCACCGTGGGTCTTTTCTGCTGGGTCACTGCAATTATAACTTGCGCAAAGACTCTCTCGTCTTGAAACGAGACGGCTGGAAATCGGGCTCACGGGGTTGCGGAGTTCTATGAATATTCAGATACCAGGCTGATATGGACCATAATCCAGGGAAACCTGAAGCAGGTCTTGGGCAGTTCTATTAAGGCCACCCACGCTAGACTTCCATCAAGAACGGCGTAGTAGTTTCGAATTGGGAGGAAACTCTCTCGTCATTTACCAACGCCAGAATCAGATTCCTCAGCATGATCCCATCTACTTTATAATTCGAAGGCCTCTTATAATTCGACTCCAGGCACCCAGCTCAAATGCCATGTGTTGTGACTGGAATTGAACTTCTCGTACAGTCCTGAGTCATGGTTTGGGTGTTGGTCGCTTCGTTGGACGCTCTGAGCAAACTTCCTTCTTGGTCTCCCCTGTTGACGGGCGTCCTACCTGGATTCAGAAATGTCTACTATTTGTTACATTCTCAATCTCATTCTCAGCGACGGGAGGGTCCCAAACTCTTTTCTGTTGAATTTCATTCCACGGCCTTGCCTGGATTTGCCTCGCGGTTCTGACGCTTCACTGCGCCGCACCGCACTGTTCAAATCAAGGCAGATGTGAGGACGTGATGGGGCCTATAGACCCCAATCGCCCTTATGGGCACCTCTTCTTGAGGCGTAGAATTGAAGGATTGATAAAGAGGGGGCGAGGCAGAAAGCATGTTCGTTGATGGTTTCAATTCGGAAGGTTCTCACGCAGTGGAGACGGCTGTAGGGAACCAACTGCCAAGCTTCGCGTTCACGAAAGGAATATCACGATCGTGACATCTCAAGTGGAGAAAAATGGGTAATTTGAGGCTTCGAATACTTGGCAGATGCCTCGCCGCAGTCGATACGGTAGCAACCAGATCCGTTGGGGGCTGTTGGTAGATGCTGTTGGACGGTGTTGGACGCTGTTGGCGGGCCCTTTCTCTGCGCGCGGGTTGATGTCGCCGAAGGATCGTGTGTCTGGGACTTTGACTACATCATTTGATCAAAGACGAGTCTTCGTTGAGCATTTACAGTATCCAGGGATGTTTAATAGTTCGGGGGCTAGCTTAGGCAAACTGCCAATCTCTGAACGATGGAGTCTCCTGAAATACCATCGCCATCACCTAACGGCCCCAGGAACAACCAACGGACCCCAGATCTACGAGGAGCTTCACGCTTTCGGGCTATCCGCTTCGTGGGCACTCAGATGAGGCAGTATGAGGCAGTGTAGGCTGTGATCAGTCTTTGGCATCAATGTCCGAGACCCAGTGTCTCCCTAGTTGGATAATATAAAAGATAAAAAGCGAATCGCAAAAAAATCATGTATTCAATCTTCAACGACACGATCAACTCATCTATCAACGCATCATACTTGTCTACTCATCAGTCCTTGACCCGCATCAGAGCGCATAGCTTCTTCAGAGCGATGAAGCTTCTCTCCATCTTGGGGCTGCTATGCAGCACTGGCTCGGTAGTCTCTGGGTCTCAACTTACACATCGAGCGCCCAAGTGTCCCAAGCCTGAGGGCAGTACTACGGATGCTCAGATAATTGCAGCGTTCAAGTCCTCTGGACAATGCTTCAGCTACACTGGCGCTGGCAATCGCGAGAAGAGTATTGCTCCCTGTGCCGGCGCTGATGGCTATTGCCAGAAGGTCAAAGGGGTAGAGAACGCCGCAGCAGGTGTAAGTCAATATGATTTCATGTTCCATTCACAATATCCCGTCAAACAGATTGGTGATCGTCATAGTTTTGCTGATACGAGTGTCTTAGTGTGAGCTCTTCGTTCCTGAGGGCGTCAAACTTGATAAGAGTCTCGCCAACAAGGACGAAGATTGCAACGAATGTTACGCCGGGCAATGCACATGTGAGTGTGAGTTCTGTGAAGAGATCGCAGAAATTGTCATCGAGGGCCTCGAACAGCTGGACAGTGTTATTTGCGCTGTGATGCTTTCTTCCTTAACCTCCATCGCCGACGCCGGTCTCACGTTCATCCCCGGCGGCCAAGCACCCAAGGCTATCAAAGCTATAGTCCAGGGCGCCAAGTCTTTCTACGAGAATGGGGCAGAAGCGGCGTCATTCTTTGGGAGCTGGATCGGCCCTGCATGCGGGATACCGGATTTCAACTTCGATATCACAATGGTGTTTGGGTCTCTCCTCGGCGCCCCTGACTCCATGTCGCGTGGAAAACCTGTCGGCTGCAAGAAGAAGAACAAGAACGGATGCCGCGATGTTAAGCCAGTCCCCGATCCCACGACGAAGCCAGACCAGCCCACGGTCAAGCCTACCGACAAGCCGCAGCCTACAACGACACCAAAGCCCGCGACGACACCGAAGCCGGAGACAACATCAGCGCATACAACATCCTCGCCTGCCTCATCCACGACTGAAGCCGGCGCCGGATGTGCCTACTGCGGCGAGTTCGGAAAGACAAAGGCAGCTCGTGATGAGAAGTATCAACTCATGTACGCCCGTGCGGGCAACTCTGCCGACGCCCCGGCCTGCGTCGTACCTCCTGCAGACGGATCGATAACCAAGAGAAGGACCAACTGTCGTCGCGATCATTGCTTTTGAAAGGACGTGGCCTTGCCGAGAAGGACACCAAGTTTGATGGGTTTTTGCTCGGCGGTACGTACGAGGTAACGTTATCCATGGGAAAGTATATGCAGGGAGCCGATGCCGAAAAGATTCCGGAAATCAGCAAGTTTTGGGCGTACAAAGATCCACAGAATACGAATCAGTGCAGCGTGGAGGTGGTGAAAGATGCCAACAAGGCAAATGGAAAGAAATACGACAGTAAGTGGTCCCTCGTCAGTGATGATGGCATATCGTGTACTAACAAGGGCGCAGCCGAACACGTCTTTGAAGCCCAAACTGTCATGCGGTTTCTGTCCTGGCTGAGCAGTGATTCTGACGGAAAGCTTGGGACTACATACAAGATGCCATCAGCTGCATGGGTCGTTGACACGTTTTTGTCATCCGAAGACAGCAAGACCGAATTCCTTATCGTTTCGCCTGGCAAGACCAATGCTGGCGATCTCTTCACCCCATCTTCCGGCGAACGAGGGGGTGCCCTGATTGCCTACGGATTCGGAAGATCCGACGGGGTCAAGTCAATTTCGGGAGGCCAGAACGTTGAGCGTATTCCAGCCACTCGAGGCAACAAGAACCTTGCCTTACTGGAAAAGGAGATCAATATGGCCAAGGGGAAGTGGTTTGGCATGAACAGGGTTGCCAGTGACTACTCCAAGATGAACACACAGTCTATATTCCGAACAGAAATGCGAAGGGTAAGAAAGATCAAACAAGAACTCCGTATGTTTACTTTCACAGACGCAACTAACCAGAGACAACACAGGGTGTGGCCCCATTTCAATTTTTGGGCGCCAGCGACGGCCAGACGGACACCATCTGGAAGAAATGGGCCCGCGTTGCGAACTGGATAGACCTTGTCATGTACACTTTCGATCAACAATACAAATGGGGTACGCGCGCTGGCGAGCCCAAAAACTCGAAGGGGGATCCCTCGATGCGGTCTCTTTGGGCGTACTGGATCGACAAGGAGCTTGGCGACATCGAGGCCCTCGCCGCCGCCTGGGCGACACAGTCCGCAACTGTCTTCGACCAAAAGTTCCCGAAGAACAAGCGATCCGCGGCCGAGGAGAAGTGGAGGAACGATGCTTTCGGCACCAATGGCTTTGCTACTGCAGCTAAGCTCAAGTTTCCCCGCCCGGCCGGTCTCTCAGCCGGCGCCTCGATTTATGGTGCCTATGGCTGGAAAGATGTCACATTCGATGCTTCCAACCAGAACCCGAACATCGGCGTCCCGGACAAGATCGTTTAGGTAATGTCTTGGATGGTGGCCATGTTGGAAGATTTGAGGTTCAGAAGGCGGAAAGGTGGACGGGATGGGTTTTGTGTGTGGGAGCACACCGGCCGTGGACATATTGTCATGTGGCTTGTTTGCTTGGACTGTCTTGTTGGCTCTGCTTATCACTTTTGAAGTTGCAACTGTCTCTACCGATACCTAGATTTTCATTTGATTCAAGTTCACTGATTACTGCTTGTCTCTTGCGTTATTTACCCGCAGGAAGCCTTCCAAACACCTCAGAAGCTCAGTCCTCAAAGTCCTGGAAAGCCTCTCTAATTTCCCCCATCACCTTTCCCACGCCATCATAAGTGCAACGCACAACTTCCATCTCCGGTGCCTGCTGGCCTTCATCTTGGCCGTTTCGGAGCCCCTCAACTTCCCCTAAAGTTGTTGCAGGATGCTCGATCGACAGATCCCAGAAGACCACCAGGAAGCCTCCCTCATTCTCGTTCCAGAGCTCTGGTGGCCGGTCAATGATGATGATGACTCGACGCCAGTCATTTCGAGGCCAATCCACGTGGTTGATGAGTCGCGAAATGTGCAAAGTATCATCGGCGTGCTCCCGTGACGCAATTTCAGCACAGGCATGTGCTCTGCACTTCTCGATTCTCTCCTCAGTAGATGCGTCCACTGGAAGCGGCATGGCCCAGAGGTCAATGCGGTCGTGGAAATCAAATCCAATTCTCCAGCGCGCTCTGAATGTCTCTTCGTGGACCTTCTTAGCTCGGGTCTTCAGATGGTCCGGGTTGGCAGACAAAGGCGTTGTGTCGTATATCTGATAAGACATTTTCGGGCGCGTTTGTCCATCCTCATCGTCCGAATTGGAGTCTGAGAGCGGTCGCGCATATTTCTCGGGTATTGGCAGACTCATAGCACGTCGCCAGGCGGTAAAGCAGGGCGTATTATCATGACTGGGCATTTCCTCAATGACGTACTGCAAAAGAGCTTTGCGGGGCGCCTTGCCGCCTGTGGATGCTCTTCTGGTGGGCGTTTGGGGCATATTTGTGGTTGAATGGAAGTTTCAAGATGCACTTCAAGAAAAAGTCAGGCAAAGAACAAAAGGGCGGAGTTGTTTGAGGAGAGAATTGGGACACGCGAGTATTTCATTTGATCGATGAGAAAAAGGAGGGGCCTTGTTGGTGCTGTGCCTCATTGTCTTGGGCGTGTGTCCAAGGTACCTGGTACTGATGGTAAAAATAGATAAGGCACCTTGCCCACCTGTTAATAGTTGAGTATTGTCGAAAGGTCCCAACAGCAATAACACGGGCTGTGCATTGTGTTTACCTGCCCTCCGGATGACTGCTTAGTACGCTATTCTTGGATTGAGTCAATTCTTCGAGATTTGCGCAACCGCTGATGATGCGCATCACTGCCCCCAATCAAAAGCTTTACTAGCTCCACATTACAGCGATTCGTTGCCACGAAGTCCGCCAATCAAGAAGTTCATCACGACCCATGGTGCTCAAGATCACAGCGTAGTAGTTGCCACAAATGTAGAACTTAAAAATTGCTCTTATACCAGCGTCTAAACCAACGGGTAACAACCTTTGGAGACAATTTTCCAAGAATGTAGTCAAAGTATTAGATCTCAATGTCCAACGTCACGTGTACACATTTTCTAAGACTAGGTAGCTCACTAGGTACTTGCGGAAGGCTCAATCATCTACTCGAGTCCAATTTTAAGCTCTGATCTGACGGTGAGAGTGCATTGAGCCTTTTGTGCAGAAGCGGTCTCTTGGGTTTTCCCTCCCTGCGATATCTTGCATATCAATGTGCTAGGACTGAGTTTTTCTCGGAAGGCTTTCGTCCGTAGATGTTGTACCTGAATCGATTAGCAACAATCACTAAGAATAGGTGAGCAACTGACATTGGCCAGTACGCGTGAATGGATCTGTTCCCCAGCTCTTTTCGCACTTCCACGAGAAAAACTTGGACCTCCTCCTTTGTCCAGCCATGAGCTCTGGTCAAGGGTGCCATAGTGAAGGATTCAAATCCAGCAATGAAGTTTTCGTTAGCCCATATGCCCAGCTCCTTATACTCGGGATACTTCGGCCAATCGTTGGTCGGCCACTTATGCACCTCCATCTTGACGTCCACGAAGCCGGCATCCTCAAGAACCTTCACAAGAGGCGGAATCTCCTGGTAAGGACGTCCGAAAATGCCGGCAGCTTCTCCAAGCAATTCAGTGCATCTGGAAATAGCAGAGTCCGACTTCAATGTTCCGTCGTCGGAGCGTGCATGCAGGTCTAGTTCAACTAGTTCGACATATCCACCTGGGGTGAGGTGACTAAGAAGTTAGGAACACAAAGATTAGTATCGTGCAGAACGTTGACCAAACGATGTGTTTAGAAGAGTTGAAGTTGCGTAACCTACTTAAAAACCTTGGTTGCAAAGGTTTTCCAATTGCCAATTGATGCGTTCATGAATCGGCTGTGAATGTAGTCGAATGGTTGCGACCAGTTCCACTCCTCGTCTAAATCATCCACTTCAAACTTCACGTTGGGTGGCACACTTCCGCGAATTAGTCTGGTTGATGATATTTGTTTTGTTGTTTCAATAGTGATGTCAAATCGACGGCAGGGAGTACTCACAAATCTGACATGATTGGGGAAAGATCAAACCCAATAACCTAGAGCTCAAATAAATGATTACAAACTTCATTAGTCAAGATAGATAGGCATTGTTACCTCGGCATCCGGGTGTTCCTCTCCAAAGTCCTCCGCCCAAATACCGGTACCTGTACCGACATCGAGGACGCGCGTGACCTTTGAGTTGGGATCGTTGGCGGGCGCGAGCCCCAGGCGGTTGTCGAGGGTAAGAAGACAAAGATGGTGTTGCAAGTCTAAAGCCCATGTCAGCGCACCTCGTAGATGAGGCGCTCATGAAGCTTACCTAGTCGCTCGTTTTCTCTCTCGTCATTGGGAGCATGGTATCCTTAAAATGTCAGAAATCGGACAATAATCAAGATGTTATTTAAAAAGTCATGACATACGTCCATCTTTGTACTTGTGGTACGTCCGGCCGTTCTCGACACGGAAGTCGCGGATTGAGTCACTCAGACTAGCGGTTGAAGATGCGACACTCTACATTGAATTGATTGATTAGAGCAAGTCAGTGGGATAAAGAGGAACTTCTGCGTACACCTCCAATTTCCGAGGATGTGTCATTCGTCGCCTTTGGCCATCAGGGATTAGCATCAACTAGGTCAAGAGGCTAGGCGTGGGGTGCGATTTACCTCATCGGCTGCCAAGTTGATTGGGTTAGTGGCCTGAACAGGGACTTCAGCGGTGCCAGTTGCGCCGCTCGTGGCGTTGTTGGCGCTCATGACTGATAGCAAGGGCGAGATTGATGAATGCAACAGAACAGAAACATCAATTGTACCCAAATCATTCGGACCAAGTCCTTTTATGGGTGACGGTCGCTTTTATTACCCCTCTTCCTGACTGAAGCGAGTTATGCATGTTCCCTGCCAACAAACCATCACATCACTAGTGATAAGGCCTGCGCTGTTGGTTGTCCTGCATGTCACCCTTGGCGAATGTAATTCCGTCCGCGGCCCCCCAAAAGATACCTCAAAGTCCGCAAATACTCCGCTAATCCACTGACATTAGAAGTAGATACATAAGAAGCGCCAATTCACAAACCTCACTTGAGACCAGGGTCCTAGAACCAGAGCTGCAAGTTCTTTCTTCAACTTCTGATCGCCTGCACCAACCGCACTCGTACCCCATTTCGCCGAGAACTCGCCGCAGCCGACCAAAATACCGAACTACTGGTCCAACGAAGTTATGGCGGTGCTGAACCCGGCCTCGCGAAAATACGGCATGGTCGTGCTCGGAGCCTCCGGCTTCACCGGGACGATGGTATGCACACACATCGCGGCCCATTTTCCCACCAACCTCAAATGGTCAGTGGCCGGCCGGTCACAAGAGCGTCTCGAAAGGCTGGCAGCTAAATTGAAAAAAGAATATCCCGATCGAGTGCAGCCAGGTGAGGCTCCGGGGTGCCCTAAACTTTGCTAGACTGGTGGAAATGCTAATTCGCAACTAGACCTTGAGATTGTCGCGCCAAATGATGCTAAGACACTCAGGGAGGTGATCGGAAGAGCCAAGGTGTGCATCAGCAGTGTCGTCTATGCGGTTGACGGAGATCCGATCATTGAGGCGTGCATCGACCAGAGGACCGACTATGTTGACTGGTTTGTGATGTCCGTTGCTTCGTCAAATGATATCTAACAGCGAACATTAGCGCCGGTGTTCCCACTCTTGTCCACGACTGGGTCACCAAATATCATGAGCAAGCTGAGGCAAACGGCGTTGCGGTAGGTCGCGTCCCCACCTGACTTTTCATGATAGACAACATCAAGGTATCGACTGACCAGCATCGCAAATAGCTGATTCATTCTTGCGGCGCCATGACTGGAGAAATGGATCTTTTCGCCATCCATGCCTGCCGCGAACTCAAACAGAAATGGTCGGCACGAATGGGGAAGATGACGTTGCGAGTTGATGATCTTGAGTGAGCACACAGTCTGATCCAATCTGGTTGATGGGGTCTAATGCTAATTGATCGTAACTTACAGCCCTAATGTAAGCGGCGGCACCATGCGAACGATGCTATCATTCGCGAGCGGAGGCCCGAAAGCAATCGCGGCGGCTGGTCACCCGTCGCTGCTGACGCCGATTCCTCACACGAAACCCATCGAGGCGGTCCGCGGAATCCACACGCATCCCGTGCTTGGATTATTGACACTCTCTTCGCCGCCGGGCGACCAAGCGCGCACCCTCATCAATAGATCTTGGGGTCTCCTGGGCGGCCCCGAAGGCAGCTGGGGTCCCAACTTCCAGTACAACGAGTACGAGAGGGCGCAGTCGTATGTGGGAGCCGTCTTCAACTTGATCCGCTGCTATATTATTCTCACCGTGTTCTCGTGGGTGCAGTATCCTTGGTTTTACAATTTGCTAATGCGCTCCGCACCGGACTTGGGCGTTGGTCCGTCTGAAGAGCAAATTAAGGCTTTGCCTTTCACTGCGGCAGCTTTCGTTGAGGCCGACCCCCCAGAGGAGATAAATCGTGGGAAAGGGTGCCTCATCAAGTTGAGGTACAACGAGGGAAACTACCCCTTCGCTGCCATGCTCATGGCTCAGGCAGGCGCCACACTGTTGTACGATAGGAACTTATCAGCGGGTATTAATGGCGGATGTCTGACGGCTGGGGTGTTGGGGCCGGACTTTGTGGAGAGGGCGAGGCAGGGAGGTCTCGAGATCGAGACCACCATGGTTGAAAGTCTGAAGATCTGAGACAATTCTCCATGATCTATCGCGTTTGTACATGTAACAGTAGTATAGGCAATTCATATGTTATCATACACTCTCTCTTCGCTGTTTACTCCGCTGCGTTATGAAATAGATGCGTTGTCATTGATATATGCTCATCGTTATGTGTGCTACTTCGGCATCAATATTACCAGCCTGTCATGTCACTTGGTCTGGCAGGGGTTCAATAGGGCTTTTGTGATCTAAGATCTGCAGAAAGAATTCAGTAAGTCCATGGAAAAGGCACTGCCGTACGCGCTACCTATGGTATATATAACGTAGAATGATCAAAGTCAACCCGTGCTACGGTCCGCCTCCATTCACTTTAAACTTCGCAGGTGTACTCCATCGTCAAGTTTACCTGAGGGACACCCTCAAAGTCTGCAGGCACCGCATACGAAATATTATAGTACCAGTGATTTCTCAGCTGATCACCATACGAGATAGGCAACTTCTCCAATCCAGGCGCAGAGACGTTGACGTTTAAGCATGGCAATTCCTCCAAGCCGGTAATAGACTTGCCTCCCAGAGTCCATGATGGGGGAATTCCGGAAAGGGCAAAGGTGAAGATATCAGAGCCTTCCTGAGTCTTGTTTGGATATGAGATGCTCAGGAAGTTCTCACTCGCAACGGCCTTAATCGTCGAAGCAGAAGGATAGAGCAGGAAGAAGCCAACCAGGGGCCACGGCTTATGCGAAGGGTCCGAAGCCCAATGCGCAATGGCCGGCACAAATTGATCTCCTCGGTTCTCTGTCTCAGCGAGCTGCTGTCCGCCGATCATGAGAGGTCCACTGATCCAGGATGTGGTGGTGCGAGTGACGTCGGTGTCCAGCTCTTCCGTGATATGTCGTGTGAGGCTTCGTGACCCCATCCAGGGGCCCTTGGACTTGAGAGCAGCTGCGGTACTGTTTGAAATGTGCTTCGCGACCGTCTCTGCAAGCAAGGAGATTGCCGCACCCTGTGCAGCATCGTACATCAAGTCTCCTTCTCCCAAAAGAGGCTGTGGACCGTACTCACGGCCAAATACAGACCACCAGTACATGGGGAGAATGGACGAATACTTTGTCATGTCGCGGGTGTATGCCCGGTCATATGGACCGACGAGATTGCCGAGATATGGGTTGTAGTGCTCCGCGATATCTTTCCACAACTCCGTCAAAATGAACTCGGCGTTCTTGGTCAGGGTGGCGTTGCGAGGTCCGTAAGCGATGTTTGCAGCCAGAGCCCAGACATCCATGCCGTAGTAATTAGGCGCGTTGTACTCGCCGAGGGTGTTAGACCCGTTGGACTTGAAGAGCTCTAGAAGCTCGCTCCCTTGAGTGTTGGCGAAGTTGATGAAGGCAGAATTTTGACGACGGGCGCCAATCCAGCCGACTGTAAGGGCGCGCATGAGGCCTGGATTAGAGTAGCCAAGAATGAGGTTGTCGCCATCGGGGTAGCTGCCGTTACGTCTCATAGCGCCAACGGCTTGGATTTCGAGAGCGTCTTCAATTTTCTTGACGAGATCCGCGCCAAGGAGGTCGGAATAGAGCTCCACATCTTGCACAAGTTGTGTTCTACATTGCTGTTAGTTGCTGTTGGCATTGTGGCATTCGTGATTTTATAGAACCTACCCGATAAACTCTCTCCAGTTCGGATCGTATGTAGTCTAGAACCAGGTGAGCAGACACGCCGTCGATGGCTCCACGGACCCAACTTACATAGATTTTTGGTGGATAGAGTGTGGAGTTGGGAGTTGGGTCCGGCTCATCAGGCGAGAGCTTAAATGTTCCATACCACGCTGACTCAAAATCCGACGTCATTTGGCACTGAAGACTGCGCTCGTAATCAGTCAAAAGGATAATAAGAAAAAGTCAAATGAGCTTCTTACATGTTCTCAATTGCTGCCCTTGCGTTTTCTACGTCGTTTCCCTCGTTGCGATGCAGCAAGCCCGCCGTGTACCAGGCAGTAAACCTGTTGGACCACGGTCCCTTGTCGGGGTAGAAGATCGCAGCGTACAACTGGTCCCATCTAGCGTCCTGGGACCCCATGGAGTAGTCAAACAAACTTTGAGCACCTGTGGTAGTGTAAGTCAATTTGAACGTCTTTCACCATTTGCGCAATCCTTACTGGCTGACAACTTGGGCTTGCTGGCGGCGTTGACCCCCAGCGTCGCGCCGGAGGTCAAGAGTGAAGCGACGGCCAATTTGAGATGCATCGTGCCCAACAAACCGTCCTTTTGCGAGGATGATTCTTGGGAAGGAATCCCATTACATCCTGGCCGCTTTCTCTAGCTATATATGCCCATACTGACAACACCCCTTGCCATAACTCGCCATGAGGACCACGCGTTCGATGCCGCTATATCCCCTAGTCTGGGGAATCAACAAGGCCATCGTCATGAACCCCTCACGCCAACCTCCGCACTGCTATGCTGTCTTCTCTCACAGAAAGGTCCGCCAATCAAAGATACCAATCCGAGCTTGCCCAGGCCCCGGTCCGAACCGGGCCGGAGACCGGTGGACCATCTCCGGCCCCCGGGCAAGGTTACATACCCCAACTTGGGAGAGAAGCCGCTGCGCTAGTGAGCTGAGCTCAAGCGGGGTCACGAGTGACCATTTTGCGGGGGAGAGACCGCATGCTGGCCGGGGATAGTGGCACCATGGAGGATAAACAGGGTAAACATCGGACTGGGGCTTTTCCCACAGGCGGGCCAGTGGTTGTTGGTGATATCTGGCCGTATCAGGTGCTGATAGATACCATTGCCAGACGATATTTCCGCACCCCTGAGAGGTCACGTTACGCATGGCATATCGCCCGCGATACCTGATTCGGAAGGCTTTCGCCCGATAAACTGCCCTCGGCACCGATGGCTATTGCCGACAACATGAGGGATTCCCCAACCCCGCTGGTATCTCCTGACCTATGTTGGCTCGATCTGGCGCTCATAGGCAAAATCTCCCGAGCGGCCTGAGCCCGACAGATTGGATCGTGTGAGAGCCGGCCCGGAGGTTGGCCGGGCTTGTTGGTGCTGATATCGGTACCCGAGGAAAGCGTGATTGTTTCTCGGGTTGTTATCTCTTCGGGTCCGTCAATATTAACATCGCCATTCCCGGGTACTCGGAGCTCGCGTGAATCGCGTTCTAGTTCTGTTCATTTCTGGAAGATTGCAACCATGGCGAAGGGTCCAACATCGTCAATAGAGCCGGACGGCATCCCCGTGACTGTCGATGCGGCGATTGCGAAAAACAGAGGGTGGCTGAAATGGCTTTCAAACCCGGGTATTGTCAAGCTGAATTGCATCCTTGTCTTATCATTGGTGTCAAGTTACGCGACCGGTTATGATGGATCGATGATGAATGGACTGCAGTCCTTGGACACCTGGCAGCAATCTTTCAACAACCCTGATGCCCAACAATTAGGACTGTAAGTTTGCTCGAATATGCGTGCCCCAGAGTAGTTGCTGATAAGCTGTCATCAGATTAAATGCGATCCAAAATGTCGGACAACTGGTGGCCCTTCCCTTCTGCGCTTGGTTCTGCGATCGCTTCGGCCGCAAGCCTGCCCTCCTCTTCAGTGCTTCCATTCTCCTCATTGGTGTGGCATTGCAAGGCGCATCGCAAAATGTCGGCATGTTTATCGCAGGCCGTGGAGTTCTCGGATTCGGCCTCGCGCTCAACATCACAGCCGCACCTCTGATGATCATGGAACTGGCATACCCATCCCAACGTGCCCCTCTCGTCAGTATCTACAACTCTCTATGGGGCCTCGGTGCCCTATCGGCGGCGTGGATCACCTTTGGCACCTTCAGAATCGGCAACACATGGGCATGGCGCATTCCTTCGATCCTTCAGGGAGTGTCTAGCATCGTTCAACTGGGTCTGTGCTTCTTCATCGAAGAGTCACCAAGATGGCTGATTTCGAAGGAACGAGATGCTGAGGCAGAGGCTTTGATTTTCAAGTATCATGCGAATGGAGACGCAACAGATCTGGTTGTTCCGTTGGAGATGGAGGAAATCAGGATGGCCTTGCGACTCGAAGCTGAGGCCTCGCGATCCACATCGTACATGTCTTTTTTCCAGACTCCCGGAAATCGTCGGCGCTTCTTCATCATCCTGGCAGTTGGGTTCTTCTCTCAATGGTATGCTCCTTTTCTCGCCAAACTCCACTTGGAAAAACAACTTGACTGACATTCAAATCTAGGTCTGGTAACGGTCTCATTTCGTACTATCTCAGTCTAATCCTCAACTCCATCGGATATACCTCCCAAGATACCCAGACTCTCATCAACGCATTAATGACTCTTTGGGGCATGACCTGGGGTCTCATCGCGTCATTCCTTGTCAACCGCTTCCGCCGTCGCACAATGTTCCTCGCCTCGACTCTAGGCGCTTTGGCTTGCTACGTTACATGGACAGCTCTGCAGGCCACCTACGAACAACAAACCGACCTTACCGGCAGTGGGTCACCAGGCCTCGCCAAGGGCGTCTTGGCCATGATCTTCTTGTACAACGTCGTGTTCAACATGGGCTGGGGCGCTTTGCAGGTAACCTATGTCGTCGAGATTCTGCCCTTCAATCTCCGAGCAAAGGGCCTGGTTCTTTACAACCTGTTCGTTGCCTTGGCCCTCATCTTTAACCAGTACGCCAACCCAGTGGGTGTCACGAACTCGAAGTGGAAGTACTACATCACTTACGATGTCTGGCTGGCGTTCGAGGCCGTGGTGGTGTACTTCCTGTTCGTCGAGACGGGCAAGATGAGCTTGGAGGAGACGGCCGTCATCTTGGATGGCAATAAGGATAGGTTAACGGATGAGGTCGCCCGTAAGACGGAGAAGCTTGTGATCGAAGCTCACGAGAACGTCGCGGAGCATGATGCTCGAAGTGAGATTAAGGCTTGAATTTGGGCAGCACGTGATGGTAGCTAAGCTGGTTTTTGATTATATTGAGTACAGCATCGAAGTGCATCTTCGATGCTGTGTCTAAGGAAACGACATCGTTTGCTGTTAAAACGATATGACCGCAATCGTGCTTCTCATCCTCTTTCCCGTCATCTCTCTTGTCGCCCGTGTTGTCACCCCTCTCGACACTTTCGGCCATTAATGTTGTCGACGTAACTGGGTCGCATGGCGTGGTTCTTTGTATTTGTTTGAGAATCTGCGTTACTTATACTTGGGTAATCACTCTGTTCCCCGCTCATCGCAAGCAGCTGGGGGCGGTTCTTCGTACTCATTGAAGGGTTAGTGTTGTTGATATTCAGGTTGTTCTGCTTTTCCGGTTCCGCACAAGCAGTTGGGAAGTTAGTAGTTTTTGAGATGAATATGCCTCGGTACCTTCGGCCATTGTTCTAATCAAAGTAGCTACATCAGCTGGTGGTGATTCTTTGCATTCTGACAATGTCCGGGATATAGCCGCCAGTGTAGCCCAGTTGATCGTCATCTGACCTTGGTGTTTTCCAACCCTACGCCTCTCTTGTTCGGCGCAAATAGTAGCCCCCTAAAAGTTGCATCAAAAACAATTAAACGTTGCATCCGAAACAATTGACTTCAGGGCAGACAACGGTTGCCTTTCGATCGACGATAGTCGGGCCAAGCTGTGGTTGCAATGAGGTAGAGGGGCAGACGGGAGGTTGAGAGGACACTGGGTTGTGGATGCTGCAGCCAGCGCCTAGTGGAATCCCAAGAGCGAAAGCTCGGGCCTTCTTCTGCTTGTACTGCTCTTATTTCTCTTACTATTCATACTACTTTTGCTAGTCCTACTAATCTTACTAGTCCTACTGTTCTTGTTGCCCTTGCTTCCCTAGTTATACTATTTGAAGCCCCTTTACCTGCTAATTTACTCTTCTTACCCACGCCTAGAGGGAAGACCGTTTTATTATCTCTTTCATCTCCTGCAGTCCGTCGACAGAGCACAGATGAGCACGAAGTCACGGATCCGTTCGTTAGCTTTTCCAGGACCCCGAAGCGGAAACGAACCTCGCGCGCCTGTACGTCAGGGGTTCGCTCCGCATGAAGCCTATTCCATCCTGACCCTCGAGAAATTCTCCTTCTCATACGGCAGTCAGAAAGGTCTGCCTGCAGGTGGTGACCCGCTGTGCGAAAGCATAAACAAAAGCTTAGAAAAGTAGAAGGTAGCATACCCGTAACCTCTGTAGTCTAAGGCTCTTGTACACCCTCTTATAGGGTGGGCTATGAAACTTCCTCAACAAGGCTCTTGTACAAAAGTATGCTCCCTGTATGAGTGAGCTCATGATGTGGCTCTACGGCACTTCCTATCCCTTGGACTTTCAAGGTGTCATTCCGGCTGCCGGAGATCTCTTGGTGTGGGACTCGCTCGTTGTGACAGCACCACATGGCGGACCGGCATTAGCTGACAGAAAGTCAACGATGACGGCCCGCGCCGATCAGACAGTCAACGTTTTGGGTGCGTGCTCAATCGCTCTACTTGCTGATATGTATGAATTGCTCCGATGGCCAATATCCAATGATCCATTGTTTACTGATCAAGTCAAAGTCGGATCATGACCCCGTCTTTGTCAATACCATGAGGACAATAAGAAGCTCGAAAAATGAGATAGTAGCCATGGCATGTTCTTGTCGTAGGACGGGTCTGAGTGATAACCTATGGTTTATGTGATGAAAATCGTACTGACTGAAAGACGATGCGAGCAATCGGGGCGGTGGGGTGGATAAGGATGAGACTGGCGACGAGGGTGTATTGCGTCTTCCTGATAATCTTGAGTAGAGGTTCTAACGCCATTCGAGGCTTTTCGACATCATTGACAACGGCGCACAGGTTCATCTCGTCATTCGTTTCAACCTGTCAAGCTTTGCGATGGCCCGATGGTGGCCCATGTCTGTTCCGGAGATCCGGCGCGTTCCTGCATCGGTGTCTCCGCCAAGCTCGCAATCTCCAGGGGTCAGCAGTGCTCGATGCAAGGCATCTATTGCAACTTTTATCTTTTTTACCGCGATAAGAGCTTTGCAGCGCCCAATCTTCTCTATCAGTTCTCGATGGCGCGATATTGCGTGATTGAAGCTGCCATCAAAGACCAGCTTCCATCAAGGGCAGTCCCCGTTCGACCCTGGTCCCTTCATGTGAGCAATATGCATATTTTCATGTCTAATTTCGCTCCTCGAACCTCTTTCGCCGCCAAGCTCTATCCATGGTTTACCCCGCATGCTCCTCGGCTCTTCCCCATTGGATCGCACCACAATGACACCTTGAGCTCCCCTCGGTTCTTCGGTGGAACATCTGCGGGACCTGCAGTCCGGCTCAATTGCCCCGTCAGGGAGGTGGTCAACATTGGACGGTTGGACCCTTTCCCCGTCTCCTTTCCTCCGCCATCGGTGCAATTGTACCGAACTGGCCAAGCCTTTGGGGAAAGCTCCCCTCTTTCACCCAAAATCACGTCGAAGCTGGGTGCTGCTCGTGCCTAGCTTCAGGTTGGTCAACGGCGGCTCGAAGAGGAACGACTCAGCAACCCTCTTGACCGCAATCTAAGCTGCAGATCTAGCGGCAGGGCAGCGTAGCATCTAGCACCTGTGCGGGCGACTTGCCGAGAAAGATGGAGCGGAGAGATGGCATCATCAGATTGGGAAGTCGCGTCGGGCCAAGTCCTGGGCGCAATGGTCCGTCCCAGGTGTGACCTCGACATCACCGTGCTGGATGATGCGATCTCGAGGCAGTGCTGCGGGCCAAGACTCTACCACGGTGACGGATGACATATAACTCGCACCCCATTGTCCCGATGCTCGAGTCGTGTCATTGAAAAGGGACGCGACAGCCGCATCTCTTCATTCCAGAGGCAGCGGCATCCAGTCACTCGTTCGCTGTCGCAGTCTCAAAGCCAAGGATGTCTCGCTTTGTCCTCAGCCTCGTGGCCCTCACCGGCCTCCTCGGCTCGGCAGACGCCCAGAACAGCACCGGAAGCAGCGCCAACGTCAAGTGGCTCGGTCGCACGCCCTCATACAACTCTGGCACGACGTTCGGTCTTCCCTGGGCCAAGGGCAAGCACTACCCCAACTCGACCGAGTTCACCATCTCCAGCGGCGGTCCGTTGCAGTCGTGGGTGACGGCCTACTGGCCCGACGGCTCCATCAAGTGGTCCGCCCACGCGATCCCCGAGTCCGACACGATCCTCGACGAGTACATCGTCAGCGCGTCCTCCTCAAACTCGACGGCTCGATTCTCTCGTGCGAAGAGACAGTCCAACAGCGGTCTGGCCGTGACGGACTCATCCGATGTCGTAAGCGTCGACACCGGCAAGCTTGCCATCACCTTCCCAAAGTCAGGCAATGCGGTCGTCAGCGAGATCAAGACTGCCTCCGGCAAGGTCATCGGCCAGAACGGCAAGCTAGTCCTGCACTCTCAGTCTGGTGTTGAGGATTACGCCGAGGCCAAGGGTCAATCCGGGATCAACTACTTCAACTTCGAGAGCAACATCGAAGAGGTCACCGTTAGCAAGGACAACACCGCGCGAGCTCTTGTCACTGTCCGCGGCAAACACCAGGCAGCCGACGGCGGTCACGATGATTGGCTTCCCTTCATTCTGCGCTTTTACACCTACGCCAACTCCGAGGCGGTGCGCATCGTCCACACGGTAGTCTACGACGGCAAGGCCGAGGAGGACTTCATCTCCGGCCTCGGTATCCGATTCGAGGTTCCTCTTGAGGGAGAAGAACAATACAACCGCCACGTCAGAATCTCTGGTGTCGATGGAGGTTTGCTCAGCGAGGCCGTCCAGGGTATCACTGGACTGCGCAGAGATCCTGGTGCCCAGGTCCGAACTGATCAGTTTGAGGGCACCGAGCTCGCTGACCCTGCGACCTGGGACCAGAGAGTCACGACTAGACTTCACTGGATCCCCACCTGGAGCGACTACAGCTTGACCCAACTGTCCCCCGACGGCTTCACTTTGAAGAAGCGCACCAAGGCTGGCCAAGGATGGATCAACATCCCTGGCGGCACTCGTGCCGGCGGTCTCGCGTATCTTGGTGGTGCTACCAAGGGTGGTCTTGCCGTCGGCCTGCGCAACTTTTGGAAGCGCTACCCTACTGGCATCGACATCACCAACGCCGCTACCGAGAAGGGCGAGATCACTATCTGGATCTACAGCCCTAACGCCCCTCCTCTGGATCTTCGTCCCTTTCATGATGGTCTTGGGCAGGAGGACTACGCCGATCAGCTCGATGCTCTCGAGATCACCTACGAGGACTACGAGCCCGGCTTCAACAACCCCTACGGCATCGCCCGCACCAACGAGATCTTCCTGTACGGCTTTGAGCAAACCCCCAACCGAACCCTGCTGTCCGACTTGTCCGACCACAACAACAACCCTCCCGTCCTCTTTGGCGAATCCGAGTATCTCGCCGAGACCAAGGCCATCGGCACCTACTGGGCTCCTCCCGTCGCCAACCCCAACGCTCAGGCTGCCAAGATTGAGGACCACCTCGACTTCTTGTTCAAGTTCTACGAGGGCCAGGTTGAGCAGCGCAAGTGGTACGGCTTCTGGGACCACGGCGACTTCATCCACGCCTACGACACCGACCGTCACCAGTGGCGTTACGACGTCGGTGGCTACGCCTGGGACAACTCGGAGCTTTCTCCTGATCTGTTCTTCTGGAACTACTTCCTGCGCACCGGACGCGAGGATGTTTACCGGTTTGCTGAGGCTCAGGTCCGCCACACCGGCGAGGTTGACGTCTACCACCTGGGCGATCTCAAGGGTCTCGGTACCCGTCACGGAGTTCAGCACTGGGGCGACAGCGCCAAGCAAGCTCGTATCTCCACTCCTCAGTACCGTAAAGTCTTCTACTACGTCTCCGGAGGCGACGAGCGTGTCGGTGAACTCATCGAGGAGCTTCTCGACACCGACAAGACCTACGGTGTCCTCGACCCTAACCGTAAGGTCCGCACCGACGGCTGGGTTCCCACTCCCAACGCTTCTGTCGCTGTCGGCCTCGGAACTGACTGGTCCGCCCTTGCGGCCGGTTGGCTCATTGAATGGGAGCGTCGTGGTCCTCGCTGGGAGGAAGCCCGCACCAAGCTTGTCAACACCGCCGCAAGTATCGCCAAGCTCAAGAACGGCTTCGTCACCGGCTCTGGTCTGTACAGCATCGCCAACGGCACCCTCGGCCCGCCCCCTGCGGACCCCAATAACGAGGGTCTTGTCGCTGTCTCCCACTTGTCCGCTGTCTTCGGTCTCCTCGAGGTCGTCGCCGAATTCATCGAGCACGCCGGTGAGGAAGTCCCCGAGGGTTTCGAGGCTGCTTGGTATGACTACTCGTACTACTACGGCGCTGGCGCAGCTGAGCAGACGGCCCGCTACGGCAAGTCTTTCGGCAGCCTCAACCTCAAGCAGGGACACTCTCGTCTCACTGCTTACGCTGCCCACCGCCACAACAACGCGACGTTGGCTGCTCGCGCATGGAATGAGTTCTTCAACACTGATGGCTTCAAGGAGTCTTCGCCTTGGAGCACGGTCCACTTCAACGGCAGTGCAGTTCTGACTCCTATTGATGAGGCTGCTTGGGTTTCTACCAATGATGCGGCGTTGTATGGGTTGGCCTCGATTATCAACCTTGCTCTTGTGGGAGAGTACCTGAGTTAGAGCATATAAGCTTTTCATTGAAGCTTTTCAAAATTGCTTCACATTTCATGTACAAATTACCTTTACTTCAGTTACATACAACAATACTATGGTTCGCAAAGCCCTTTTGTCAAGTGCCGTTACCTATGTAGTGTGAACATAGATTTCCTTGTGGTACTCTTCATGGTATTGTGTACCAGTGATGAACTTTGGGTTCGGAACATTGATGGTATCTCAATTGAAAGAGTCCTTCACAATTGTCTGGTTCTGCGACTGATGTGGACTTGAGGTCTCACCCTGATGGTTTGGTCCCGCTTCTCGACTCAACCTTAACTCACTCAGGAGCTCAATTCAGACCTTGGCCACTCCCAAGGTATCTCCGTTCGCTCTCTCCCTCCTTTATCGTTGGGAAAGATGTCCAGCACTTGACGCAACTTTTGGTAATTTGGAAACTTCGCGCTTTTTTTCCTGCCTCAGAAGGCAATCAACTTTCACAGTAACACAACAACGCCTTGCGTAGCAACCCATCGCGAAATCATGGATGACTTAGATATTTTTGCCGAGCTGAAGGACATGGCCAGGGCCTCACTGTTTCTGAACGAGCCAGAGAATGCCGAACCTCTCCCCGCCGATGTCACGCATCGCCAACGCGACATGGACCTCGAGGTCCCTCCTGAGATACTCAACCACGTCCCTCAGCCCCCAAAGTTTGGTAAAGCGAAGTATCTCGTCAAGCTCGAGAATCCGATTCATTCACCCGAGATTGTCCATCGTTTGGGATATATTACCAAGTCACACGAGGTGTTCACAGCGACCGACGAAGATGGAGACACCACCAAGTTCTGCAAGATTGGAGAGGAGGCGAAGTTTCACATATTGCAGCACTTCCGCCAGAACAAGTCCAAATTTCAACCTACCATCATCAGATACAACGTGGCCGACAAGGACCTTTTCAAGACCTCAATCTACCCAAGTCTTGGATGCGACGCCACGTTACCGCAGAACCGCATCACCGGCGACAATGACAAGAGGCTTCAACCTGCCCAGGCCGAGTATCCGGTATGGTACTTCTTCTACGGAACGCTGGCGGACCCCGACGTCCTTCGAGAGCAACTGGGCGTGGAAGTTAACTATCGCGAGGCATCAATCAAGGGCGGTGCTTTGAAGACATGGGGTGGAAAGTACAAGGCGCTTGTAGATGCGCGGGATGGCAAGGCGCCGCCTGTGAAAGGAAAGGCTTTTGAAGTCATGGACGAGGAGATGGAGGAAACGCTTCGGACTTATGAGACGGACAAGTATGAGGTTACGAGATGCTTGATTGAGATGGCGGATTCTGTTGAGGAGGTCAGAGGCTTGACATTTCGCTTTGCTGGGGAGGCGACTGAGGTAGAGTAGGGCAAGCATAGCAGATGTGACGTGGGATTTGCGTATACATGCGTAATGCAATTGTTCCATCATTGAATGGAGTTCTTGCGGGCATCGATCAGAGTTTGCTATGCGCGTACCTGTGAGAATAGTAGCATATACTGTTTCCGGAGACCATCTAGTATTATGAGATTGCCAGTGCGTCAGTAACACGCCATTCCGCTCCTTCGAGATATGAGTCAAAGCAGAGATGTAGCGTTTAGATATTTGTAGAACCATTCGCATCGCTATTTGCTTTGGAATAGAATTTCTTAACTCCATTTATAATGGCTTATTGGCTAGGAGGTAAACTAAATAGAAGGCCTATTGAATGCAAAAGGTCCAGGTCTAAAGCTGGGACGGTAAGGTGGATTGTGTAATTGCAGAGTGAGTTATGTCCGTTTCTTAGTCATAGACACTCAAAGAGTGCTCTAGGGGCAACACCTTGTTGAGAGAAGATTGAACTTTATTCACAGAACAACCTAGGTCCTCTTGTTGACAAATTAACCAGGCAAAGAAGGCTCCCAATAGGCTCACGGGTACCCGTGCCTGTAAAATTTCACGGGTACCCGTGGAAATGACTAAGCAAGCTATCCACCTCAACGAACGCACGCGTCTCGCGTCTAACACAGTTCACGCGTCTCTTTGCACACAGCACG